CTCTGAATATATCCTTGTTTTTCGGCACAAGATTCTCTAGGATCTTCTTATATTTTCCTGACCCAGTCCTGGCATCAGACATGTTTTGCAAGGAGCTCAGGGATGATTTTTAATGGAGAATGGTATTTAGAAACTAAGATCTATACCCTAGCTATGTTTATTGCTACTGGACATCATTGCTTGTGGATCTTCTCATCAGATGGAGCTAAGAAATACATGTTTGAAGGTGGGTAGTGCATGAACACATCTTTATGCAGTTTTATATCTGTATCTATATATAGATGAATGGATAGATTAAACATCACAATTCTCTTACATAACCAGTTTATACTAACACCTCCAATCCTAGTCTAATACCTTCGGGCTCATTTTAGCTCTCCTTTCCATATTTATGGGTGTAATATGACTCTTCTTCTCTGAGGGAGAAATATGACTATGTCTGCAATATAATTACTTATTTACTCAATCTTAGATTGCACATGAAATAACCCATTACACTTCTGAAGAATCTAATTAGAGTTCATTATCTATAGTTTTTGGTATGAGTTCGTTTGTTTTTGGTCTTTTGCCTGGTGATATACAGAAAATACAAGAGTTCAAAAGTTACATTGGTTCTCTTTTTTAACATTCATTTAAAATATTTTAGTTCATTTTATTCATCTCTGTGTATTCAGTTTGGAGTTTTATTCAGTGTATTCATTTGTTTATTTTTAGCAGATAGGTAACTTGGCTGTCCCCAGCCTACAGACTTTGTGTCCCATGTTGTGGGTGGCCCCTGAAATGCAAGTTCAGTTCTTCTAAATTTAGCAGCTTGGAGTGTTTCCACCACAGGCAGTAGCCAGAGGTCTCTTGGGGGTTTGGATGGAATTTGTACTCCCTCACCTCATTCTAACTCTATTTCTCTCTTCACTTCCTGTTGCCTATGGTTGCTCCAAACTCTGCTCTTGATTCCCCTTCACAGGTTTCTATTCAAGTTCTAAGAGCCCCAAGTACAACCTGTTAAAACCCATGAAAAAAATGAAACACCTGGAGAGTCGCTTATTGTTCCCTTTTCCCCTTTAATAACTGCCTGCATTTGTTCACTCTGTTGCCTTCAGATGGTTGTTGTTATATTTTGTTCACAATCTGATGTTGTATCTAGAAAGTTAGTCTAGTGGAAACTTACTCAGCCATGACCAGAAGTAGAACCGAATTTTGTTTATTTCTGACTTTATAAAACAAACATGATCAGAGACCAGATAGATCTGTCCAACAGGAGATATGTCCCTCCTTTCTGCCCCATCCCTGTCCTTCTTTTTGAATCTTTAAAATGAGTTCTGACTGAAGAATGATTCTTGACTTTGACTTTTTTTGAGTATTAGATCTCAACTTAGGTAGATGCCATCTTTGACATTCATTTTTTGTTAGTGGATATGGATTAACCAAAAAATTCCTCTTCATCCAGAGATTTGAATTTGTAAATTAATGAAAAGGCTTTGCTGTTATTCACTGTTGTCATCTTTCTACCCTGGTGTATTTCAGTCCATGATCGGGGGTTAAAAACATGAAGGTGTAGTTGTCTGCAGTTTGGTTTAAAAATATCTGAATTGCACATCTTTTATAAATGTTTTTGAAAATCATAAATTATCACCTTTATATAATATTCATAAGAATTACCTGGAGAGATTGGTTTTTTTAAAAAAATCTGCAGATATCTGGGCTCCACATTCAGAAATTCTGAATACCTTCTGAATACTTTCTCTAGGACCATGCACATCTTTTTTTTTTTTTATATGGCAATAAGATCTACTTATAATTAGATCCTAACTTCTTCCACATTATATTTCAGAAACCTAGCCAAAGTCTTTTTGCTTGAATGGGGAAGATGAGGCCTACTTTGCTTAAACTTGGGTGGCCTAAAGCTAGGCCAGTTTTTCAACAATCCCTTGATAAGAGATGGGGAAAGACTTTTATTGAAGCAGTCAAGCAGGATCCTTCAATAGTAACAGAGTTTTCATTCTCCCTCAGTTTTCTTATCTCTTTGATCATAACCATTCTGGTTATGGATAATAGGTACCCTCAAGAAGGCATTGTGTAAAGGGTTGCAGTGTAAAGTACCAAGCCTGAAGATAATGAAAAGCAGTATAATGTAGTTTTACTGTTCTTGCCTGTCATATAAAAATAGCAGTATCGTTTCACCTTGACTTATCCTACAAATGCATACTTAAAATTATAGTGAATTTTTTTAGTTTAAATTATTGTTAACCGTATTTAGAAGGATAAATGATGTCTGTGAGCCTCCTCATCACCATTCTCCATTTCTCCAACCGGCCTCTCCCCTTCTCCAGCCCCCAGTCACTGTAACTAAAACTCTAGTGGCTTATCTCATCAGTCCTTATATTTGGGTTTCTAAAGGTAATTGTCTCTCCTGTCAACTATGTAGGATAAGTAGAAGCCAGAAGTTACTAAATAATAGCAGACATTTAGACAGACTGTGGAGTGGTTGAAGGGATTTAAGCACAGAGCCTTGTCATATCCATCTTAGGCTTCCCTGATAGTTCAGTTGGTAAAGAATCTGCCTTCAATGCAGGAGACCCCCGTTCGATTCCTGGGTCAGGAAGATCCCCTGGAGAAAGGATAGGCTACCCATTCCAGTATTCTTGGGTTTCCCTTGTGGCTCAGCTAGTAAAGAAGCTGCCTGCAGTGCAGGAAACCTGGGTTCGATCCCTGGGTTGGGAAGATCCCCTAGAGAAGGAAAAGGCTACCCACTCCATGAGGTAGCCTGTGACTCCATGGGATCACAAAGAGTCAGAGATGACTGAGCAACTTGCACTTTCAAGCATAGAAGCTTATTCCATCTATCTTACTAGGAAGCCAAATCAGGACTGGAAAGTCCAAACTATTATTGCCATAGAGGGGCACAGAGACTGTATTTGTCTTCTTTCTCTCTTTTTAATGTAGCATAATGTCAAACCCAGGTGAAAAGCCAACTCAAGGGAATTTTGACATTAAGAACCCCAGACAATACATTCTAAGAATGGAATTATGATTGTTGGGGTATGTGCTTCAGAAAGTCTCTTAGGTCTACATTTGACCTCTAGCCTGAGGTTTCATGTCTGTCTATTATGCTTTATTTTGTGGAGAACCTTTCTGTTGAAAGGTTACTAAACCTAGTCTAACTAGGATCCATTATCTAAAACTTCTCTCCTCTGTCTCTGCCATGTGTAGCATTATATTTATGCAAATTACTTAGGGATTACTGGTGATTTGGCAGATACGGGATCTTGAGGAAGCTCCACAAAAAAGATAGCATATAGTGGATGACAGGGAAAAGCAGCATTAAGCAGTGTAAGAAGGTTTGTTGCACTTACTGTTTCCTAAAACTTACTGTTTTAGGAATTGAGGTACCTAGATTGATAGTGTATGTATTTATTTGGGAATGGAGTTTGTAATCAGTATTTAAAAAGATGGAAATTTTATTTTATTAAAGAGAGCCATCAGGGTTGTAGCAGGGTCACCTCAAGGGATCAAGAAAGGCATTCACACTTTCCATCTATGAGAAAATAGAGAAAATTACCATATGAGAAAATAGGTATATGTATACATTGGAATATTATTCAGCTTTTAAAAAGTAAGGCAGTTCAGACACATGCAACAGCATGGATGAACCTTAAAGACTTGAAATAAGAAGCCTGTAACAAAAAGGCAAATACTGTATGATTCCACTGATATGAAGTATGTAGGCTAGTCAGATTCATAGAGAAACAAAGTAGAGTGGTGGTTGCCAGGAGCTGGGGGAAAGGGAAATGAGGAGTCATTGTTCACTGTGTATAGAGTTTCAGTTTGGGAAAGGGAGAAAGTTCTTGAGATGGCTAGTGGTGGTGGTGCTTGTGCAGCAGTGTGACTAAACTTCATACCATTGAACTGTACACTTAAAAGTGGTTAACTGGTAAGTTTCATGTTATGTATATTACCTAAGTTAAAAAATAGTTTTAAAAAACTTTATTTACAAAATGTATGTAACTTTCTGTCTGATGTAATTATTAACTCAGTTTATTTCAAGTTTTAAAATGTGATTGACAGCCTCTAATCACCAAATAGTTTGTTCTGTTACAGTAACTTGGAATAGAAAATGTAGCCTTCATCTCCAGATTGATGCTTCTTGACCTCCATTTTGTAACACTCCAGTATCCTATCTCAAGGAACATCATCTTTAAAGTACATGCTATATTGTACCTTTTCCCACCTACAGAATAGCTTTGCTTGCTATTCAGATCAAAATGACCTTTAAAGGTATTCATGAGTAAGGAGACCTTGAAGCTCAAGTGACCCATTCATTTTATTCCCAGGGTGCTCTGACCTGTCTTTATGGGTGGCCTATGGTATAGAGAGTTATCGTTCTTTAGGCAAGTTAATTATTTCAAATAATAATGCTTCAATAATATTACTTAAACTCTCTAAGAGAGTCTCTACAATAATACTAAATTGTCTAAGACTGAGAAAAAATCTAGGTGGTGTTTCCTGACATTGATGTGTTAAATGAGTTTTACAATTTTCCAAATTGGAATTAAATACATAGAGATTTAACATTTTACAGTTGCTAATTTTTAGTTGTTGCCAATATTTTATTTTTTTCCCTTCATAACTGTAAAATTCTTTATAAAGATATCCCTCCCCTAGCCTCTTTCTTTTGATAATCAGAGTATGGAAATTGCTTTTTTTTTTTTTTTTTTTTTGCTTTTTTACTTTAAAAAAATGTATTAGAAATATTTTATCATCCCTTAATGTGAATGATGAACTTGTACTTACACATAACATTATCAGGTAAAAGATGACTTTCTCCCCTGTTTTATATGGGTAGTATTAATCTTTATAAATTGCTTTGGCTTTTTGTGTGATTATTTAAAGGACTTCTGTCTTTTTCTGCATGTGTTAACATAGCCAATTATTTATAGGCAAAAATCAAGAGAAACTCCTTCGTCATACAATGTATAATAAAGTTTTTCTCCCTCTCTTTTTAGGATATTTTCTTTTCTGGATGTTGTTACCTTATGTCGCTGTGCTCAGGTCTCCAGGGTAAGAGTGGCTGACATGATTAGAAGAGCATCCCTTCCTGACATTAATGATAATCAGCTTCTGTAGCAGACAAACCATTTACTTCAGATGGTAGTTGTGTGTTATGTTTCCAAGGATGTTGTTGCACCCATGGCATCCCTAAACCCATGTTAATTCTACAGTGGAATTCTACTCTGTTGTTTCTAACTTTAGTTTTTTTGAAATGACTATTTCTATAATACGTGCAGAGGAAGCATCTTCAAGGAAAAAGCATATTAAACATGCAAATTAAAAGACTAGACTTTACTTAGAACTGTAATAATATAGTGTTTCATCATGTTTCATCCTAGTTCATTTTATGTATATACATGGAAAGCTTTTGATATCTCATGGTATTTTTTTTCTCAAAAGGTTATAACTAGAATTTAATTTTTAAGAAATTATAGAGCAAACCAGATTCCTTTCTCAAAGTCAGTTCTGCATTACTCTTACTTAACTAACCTTTGACAATTGACATTACTGTGACAAAACAGTGAAATATCATAATCTTATTGTTGCGCTAATACTAAGAATAGAATCTCTATTGTGGGAAAATTACATTATGAACCATTCCTAGTCTCTTTTGTAATATAGATATATAATTAATAAAATGAGTGAATACATATAATTACCACTTTTTTATAAAATGAACAATGGCTTTTTGATGGTTTAACAAATATTTATTGAGAACCTGCTATGTGCCAGGTATAGTTGTAGGTGCTGAGTATGTAATATGGTTTTATCAGAGTATTTATCTTTGTAAAAACAGGTTTACCTTCAAATCTCCAACACCGATTTACTCAGGAAAAACAAAAAAACACAGAACTTAGCATAGAAAATTCATCTTATCTTGCTAACTTTAATGTAATTTCTACATCCTAAAAGCTATACTGAAACTGTGTATCAGCTATTTAGGAAACAGGCAGTCATATTTTGATGATTTCTATTCATGACATTTCTGTTCCTGGTGTCTGAGTTGTTGCCCTAGTCATAGCTGGTACAAATGAGTTGGGTTTCTTTTCTGTCTACATTTGAAGCTGAGGTCATCACTGAGAAACAAAATTCCCAGACTGGTGTCTAAACCTGTTCAATAGCAGAGTCTCATTTCAAGAGTGTTGATTTGAGTGGGTTTTAATTGTTGTTTTCATGTTCAGGTTCTTCTTCCTTCTTAATGTGTTTTAACTTAAAAGGAAGCACAATGCCAGTCTTCGTTAAATCTGTACAGTTGGTTCATCAGTGGTTAGCCTGTTACTCTCTGTACTTGAAGTATTTTGTTAATGTGCTTAAAAAAAAAAAACTCTGGAGAGAAACCTGTCATTCCTAATTTTAGTCTCAGTTTAGCATGTTTCCTGCTTGCGGGAAAAAGTAGTGTGAGGAAATGAGAAATATCAAGCCAAATCAGAGGTATATTTAGCCCATGAATTTAGTGAACACATGATCTTCACGAGTTTTGTCTCTCGTCTCCCGTGGAGCCATTTAAGAACGCACTGGGGGCGTCCGTCAGGGGCCAGTGATAAAGAACCCGCCTGCCAGTGCGGGAGACGTGGGTTTGATCCCTGATCCAGGAAGATCCCACATGCCACAGAACAGCTCAGCCTGTGCGCCACAGCTGTTGAGCCTGTGCTCTGGAGCCCGGGAAGCCCAGTACTGAATCCTGTGTGCCCTAGAGCCCGTAGTCAGCAGCAAGAGAAGCCACCTCAGTGAGAAGCCTGCACACTGCAGCTTAGAAAGTAGCCCCCACCTGGTGCAACTAGAGAAAAGCCCACACAGCAACGAAGACCCAGCGCAGCTGATAAAAGATAAATAAAATGTTTTAAAAGAAAAAAGGAGAAAAACATTAGAAAAATATGAAGCCACAAAATGAGAAGTAACACTGAAATCCTAAGAGACCATTAAAGATTTCTAGAATAATGACTTTGTTTTCCCCTGTACCCGTGGCATATGTCTTGCTGGTTGTATGACAGTTACCTGGGACTTAAAAGTGTACCTGCAGTTTCCTTTTTACAATTTCAGTATAGAATCTGTGTTTTGAATTGTTGTAGAAGGAGATGATATTCTCAGTTTATGACTTAACACGATTAAGACTTTTGCATACACTTTAAATTTAATAAGGAAAACTTTTAAAGGCTTTCTGATTAAAATACAATGCAGAATGATCCATAGCAAGTTAACTCTGTGCAGTCATTTTTCACCTTATCCTTAAAAGTTGAAAAGCTTTCTTGCCTCTCTTTAGCTAATTAAAGAAATGTATTACCATTGAATCGAGTTGAAAGGAAAGATGACCGATTGGAAAACATGCCTGAGTAAGCTAATTGGTAATGAGGAAAGCATTAAAGTCTCTGTCACGTATATAGAGAAATGATAGTGTCTTTTGTAAATCCCAGGTCACAGTTTCAGGTCCAAACAAGTGATGCTATGGATTAGCATATTTTTATTGAACATGGTATATGTATTGAACACAGTACATTCAAAGTCCATCTTCTTTTTTTGGTTTCATCCTCACCTTGTTCCTAGAGTAACAGCCTTGCTTATCACCAGTTGGATCGTCTCATTTTGAAATTAGAAATTCCAGTTAGAAAACAGTCTCTGACTATGTACTTACTACAAGCTGTCCTTTCCCCAGCCCCCAGTGTAAGATCTTTCACAGCTGCTAATTTCTATACCCACTCATTTATGAGATAATCTACTTGGAGAATAAAACATGAAGCAGAAATGAGACTCACCTTTTGGGAGTTAATGATGGGGGTGCTGAGACATTTTTTTGGACAATTTCAATCATTAGTAGGTTGACTTTTGAACTTAGATTTTGCTGGCTTTTCCCCTTCATTTCAGCTTCTGCTCATTTTGTGTCTTTTTCTTCAAAATAGGCCTGGAATGTTCTGGCTTTGGATGGCAGTAACTGGCAGCGAATTGACCTGTTTGATTTCCAGAGGGATATTGAGGTATAATTATGTGGTGTGTGGCCCCATTTCTCTTGTTAGAATGTAATTACAGCATGGAACAAATTAGCCTCAGCTATATAAACCTCCTTTCCCTGGAGAGAGAAACCATTAATTTCAGTGCATCCGAATTTCATGAGAGCCTGCAGTGTTCCCCAAGAACTTGTTCAGCCTTTGAGAATAAGCAAAATTATTTTACTGAAATAGTAGTAAATTATTTATTACTAAGTTTTTGTTTTTATTTTTGTTGTGGAAATATGGACCTGTGTTTGCTTTTTTTAGGAAGCCTTTTCATATCCGTTTATGGAAAAATAAGTGGAGTTAAGAACTTACTGAGGCATATAATATTTGCATAAATTCTTCTTGATGAGCATTTTGGGTTCTCGGAGAGCCTACAGATAGTTTTTCTTTCATTCTCCAGAAAAATTTATTGGATTACTTTTGCTGTGGAGAGATTTTTTTTTTTTTCCCCTTCTCATTTCTCCCTCCTACTTCATCCTTAGTATTGCCTGTTTTCTCAAATGAAGAATGGCGTAAGCTTATATTATAGTAACCTGAATTTTAACTCTGTTGTCCTTGGTTCTCTCATCTGGAGAGTGCAAATCATAAGCTTCCTCACTGTGTTACAAGGATTAAGTAAGATTTAGGTTTAGATTTTTTTCAACTGGGTTGGGTTTTTGTTTTTAAAGTACTAATGAAGCTTAGTTGTCTTGAGGATTCATGTAAGAAGTTTAAGAAACCTCACATGAACTTTCCATTATCTTCAGAAAGTACCTTCAACATGGTGGATTTTTGTTTTTCCCAGTTCTGTTTATCTTCATGGATGTAAATGTTTAAAGCAACCTAACCCACGAAATCATTCAGCAAGCTTTTGTTAAGTGTTCATTGAGTCTCTGCTGTACTTAGAGTAGTATAGTAAATACACCGAAACAGTAACACAGTGATATAATAAGAGAACTACAGAGCACCATTTCCTCAAATACAGAGTATCTTAAAGATAAACAAAATAAATAACAATATCGAGTTTAAGCATATTTTAAATAGATCAAGAAAGCTGATTTGATTTAATTAGGTTTTTAAAGCGAGTTAGAAGCATTTTAAAAATGAGAATGTGTTCTTTGCAAAAACTATGTGATGGCTTATCTTTTTGTATACCATCTTCTCTTTTTTACAGGGCCGGGTAGTGGAGAATATTTCAAAAAGGTGTGGGGGCTTTTTACGAAAGTTAAGTCTTCGTGGGTGTCTTGGAGTAGGAGACAATGCTTTAAGGTAAAAACATAGCCACCGATTAACTGATCTTACTGACTGAAGTAAAAACAACACGAGACACAGCAGCATCTCACCAGCAAAGGCTGGGATCGTTTTCATACTCTTAAGCTGTTCTGAACCCAAATCCACATTCACTGCTTATCATACAAATATCCAGTAGTGGAATGAGTGGTTTGGTGAATAAAACAAGAACACGTGCTCCCCCCCCACAAAAACCAGCTTCCCCATATTATAAGTGGTTCATTTGGAGCCTTGAGTACAAGTTTGTTGTTTGTTTAATTCAAGCTCGGATAATTTTAACTTTGGTTGACAAAAGGATTGATGTTTAAAAGTTGAAAATTAATTTCTTTGTAACTTAACGACTTTTTGTACTACTATCCAGATTTGCTTTTATGTATCTTCTATTATTTTTTTAATCCTGAGAATTGTGCACATTTTGCCTCAGACCCTTTACTTTGTTTCTTTCCTGTAAAGAACCTTTGCACAAAACTGTAGGAACATTGAAGTACTGAATCTCAATGGGTGTACAAAGACTACAGATGCGTAAGTATTTTATATTTTAGAAGGGTAAGTCATAGCCCATTGTGTCCTGACTATACTAGCTTTAATGTAGGCTACTAAATAGATTTAGTAAATTTCATTTGGTTTTATAGAGAAGAGATGTTTCAAGAAAGAGAAAGTGACTTTAGAAGTTAGAAGTGAAACAAAAAGCTTATTTTGGAATTTGACCCAAATTCTGCATTGAAATTTAAAATAAAACTTGACACTTGATATTATTTAGTAATATTGCTAGTTTTGTTTTCTCTATACCTCCACTCTTTTATCTTTTTCATTTTATCTTATTGTGAAAAATTCCTAAACAGAGTAAATAATGCATTTCTTTTTTTTGCACTGAGTCTTCGTCGCTTTTGAGCAGCCTTTCTCTAGTTGTGGCAAGTGGGGGCTACTCTCTGCTACGCTGTGGGGACTTCTCACTGTGGTGGCCTCGTTGGAGAGCACAGGCTCTAGGCACGGGCTTCAGTAGTTCAGCATGCAGGCTTGAGGGCTCCGGAGTGAAGGCTCGCTGGTTGTGGCACACGAGTTTAGTTGCTCTGCAACATGTGGAATCCTCTCAGGCCAGGCATGGAACTCGTATACCCCACATTGGCTGGAGGATTCTTATCTACTGCTCCACCAGGGAAGTCCCAATGTGCATTACTAAAATAAACGTTTCGGAAAAATAAAAGCTTTTAACATAAGGACATTAAATTCATAAATTACCTATCTTAAAATCATCAAATAACCACAGGTTAATGATCAGAATTTTGCATGTTCTAGTGACTTTAGCAGTATATTAAATATAGTTTAAAAGAAAAAAGATACTGACTTTAAAAATCAAGGGTGGAGACCTCTGCTTCTGATAACAACAGTCACTGCCCTCCTGCTATAAACAGCTCTAAAACTGTACAAAACATAGAAAGCAAGCAGTCTGAAATATTGGACAATATGCAGAGCAGAACTGAGAAAAAAATGAGGTGAGCCTTATGATTGTCATGGCTTTCTGCTTGGTGGCATTTTTGAGATAATGGTACAGGAGAAGGAATGCAAGCAGGGCACAAAGTTCTGTCTGATTTGAAGAGAAAGAGATCAAAGTTCTGGGAGACCAGGATGACTAAATAGGTGTCTTGAAAGAGGGAAGCTACTCAAAAAAAGACTACAGAAATCTTCGTAAATTTGGCTGAATAATAAACTATATATGCACATACTGAGACCCCCAAAAGCTGGGCAAAGAATATCTAAAACGGAAAGAACAATTGCTGGGAAACTGAACTGAAGAAGAATTGCCAGAACTTAAATAAGGCAGCCATAAAGAAGGCTGAGCGCCGAAGACTTGATGCTTTTGAATTGTGGTGTCACAGAAGACTCTTGAGAGTCCCTTGGACTGCAAGGAGATCAAACCTATCAATCCTAAAGAAAATCAATCGTGAATATTTATTGAAAGGACTGATGCTGAAGCTGAAGCTCCAGTACTTTGGCCACATTATGTGAAGAGCTGACTCATTAGAAAAGACCCTGATGCTGGGAAGGAATGAGGGCAGGAGGAGAAGGGGACGACAGAGGATGAGATGGTGGGATGGTATCACCAACTCAATGGACATGAGTTTGAGCAAACTCTGGGGGACAGTGAATGACAGGGAAGTCTGACATGCTGTAGTTCATGGGGTCACAAAGAGTCGGACATGACTGAGCAACTGAACAACAGTATCGATAGATCTATGGTATTTATAGGAATAATATATAAAATATGTTAGAACATGAAAGTAATAGCACAAAGGAGAGAGGAGAGAACCATTACATATTGGAGTAAAATGCTTATGTTTTGTGAGAATTAAGTTACTGTTCTGATAAAGATTGTGGTAAATTAAGATACATATTGTATTCTATGAGCAAACTATAAGAAAATAACTCAGGAAAAAAGGTAAAAAAAAATCAACAGAGGAATTGAAACAGTACACCTGATACAAGAAAACATAAAGGAGAGACAGAGGAACAAACTTAAGGAAAACATAAACAAAGAGATTACAGAATGGGAGAGAAAATGCAATCATATCAATAATTTTACAAGGACTTCCTTGGTGGTTCAGTGACTAAGACTCCATGCGTTCAATGCAGGGGTTGCTGATTGGATCCCTGGTCAGGATGCTGAGATTCTACATGCCAGGCGGCATGGCACCCCCCCCCCCCAAAAAAAAGATTAAAAAACCAATAATTTTTATTAAATGTGGACAGACTGAACACTTCACCCAAAAGTCAGATTGTCAGTATGGATTAAAAAACAAGACCAAGCTTGTGCTGTCTGTAAGAGACAAACTTTAGATTGAAATTCAGAAATAGGTTGAAAGTAAACAAATGGAAAAATGCATACTGTGCAGATAGAACACCCAATGATTACAGAATAAACATTCTTTACAAACATACTTGGAACATTCTCTCAGATAGAGCATAGATTGGGCTACTAAATAAGTCTTAATTTAAGAAGATTAAAATCATTCAAAATATATTCTTCAACCAGAACTAGAAAATTTAACTAGAGATTCTCAGCAGAATCTTTGGAAATTCAGCCTCATGCTTCTATGTAATTTTGAACTGAATGAAAATGAAAAGCTACCAACATTTATGTGATGCGGCCAAGATATTAATACATCTCTGCAATCCTGTGTCACAAAAGAGGAAAGGGAGAAAGCTCTTATCAGTAACAGTGGTCAACATTGAGAAATTAGAAAAGGACTTCCCTGGTGATCCAGTGGTTAAGAATCTGCCTGCCAGTGCAGGGGATGAGGGTTTGATCCCTGGTCTGTGAAGATTGCACCTACCGCAAACCAACTAAGCCCGTGCGCTGCAGCTACTGAAGCCTGCTCACACTAGAGCCCATACTCCGCAAGAGGCACCACAGCAGTGAGAAGTCACTACAACACAGCGAAGAGCAGCCCCTGCTTGCCCCAGCTAAAGAAGACCCATCAAAGCCAAAAATAAATACATAAAATGTTTTAAAACTTAGCAAAAAGAAGAGCAAAGCCCAAAGCAAGCAGAAGGAAAAATAAAGATTAGAATGGATATCAGTGAAACAGGAAACAAAAACAGTAACAAAATCAATAATCATTGAAAAAAGTTTTTTTAATTGACAAACCTAGACTGAGAAAATAAGAGGGTAGGCTCAAATTGTCAAAAGCAGACAAGATGAAATGTTTGTCAGGTAATATCATAAATAAATTTAATCAGACAACATAGGTGAGATGGACCAGTTCCTGGGAAGGTGCAGATTAACAGTCTGAATAAATCTATAGAAGTAAATACAATAATTCAAAATTGTCCCACAAAAAAAAAAAAGCCCAGGCCCACATGACTTCATTGGTGAGTCCATCAAAAGAAGGAAGAATACTAATACTCAAACTCACTCATAAAGTAAAAGAGGAAATAATTCATAACTTGTCCTATGCGGCCAGTATTTTTCTGATTCCAAAGGCAAGTGAAAACATCACAATAAAAGGAAGTCGACTATATTCCTCAGACACAGAGATGGAGAAATAATTAATAAAGTTTTAGCAAACTGAATCCAGCAACATATAAAAGGGTTGGATCTCATCTGAATGGGATTTATCGCAGAAATACGTGTGCTTTAACATCTGAAAATCAATTAAGGTAATTTTTCATAATAATTAGAATAAAGCAGAGAACAGCAGGCTTTTTTGTATAGGGCTGGATAAGGAAATATTTTAGGCTTTGTTGGCCATGCAGTCTCTGTCAGTGTCAACTCTGCCAGTGTTTTACAAAGTGGCCACAGATAGTACATTAACAAATGAACATGGCTCTGTTGCAACAAAACTTTATTGCATGTTGCTGAGATTTTAATTTCATTTAATGTCACATGTCACAAAATAGTATCTTCTTCTGACTTTCTTTCAACCATTTAAAAATGCCAAAACCATTCTTGACTTCCTGGACGTACAAAAATAAGCAGCTGCTGAGATTTACTGTCCTCTGGAGTGAATTTAGGACAAAAACCACATGATCCTTTTCATTGTGATGGGCAGCTTATAAACTGGCCCCCAAATAATTACTGGCTCTTCCTGTTTGCACTTTTGTGTAATCTTTTCCCCTTGAGTGTACACTGGACATAGTGTCTCATTTCTAACAATAGAATACTGCAAAAGAGATTGGGTATCACTTTGGAGATTAGGTTCCCAAAAGACTGTGTCTTCTGTCTTGCTCTTTCTTCTCCAGCTCTGGGGAAGCATTCTGCCCTCTTGTGAGTAGCTCTCTGGAGAGGCCCATGTGGCAAGAAACTGAGGTCTCTGGCCAACAGCCAGCAAGAACCTGAATTCTATCAAAAACCAACTGGGGAAGCTTGAAATTGGGTCATCTTAAGTCTGCCAATCTCCACTTAACCTAAATGAGCTTGAAGGGGAATCAGTATCTTGCCACCTTTGAGATGATTTCAGCGGTGACTAGTATACCTTGATGGTAGCCTTGTGAGAGATCCTGAGTCCAAGTCACCCTGCTAGGCTGCCTGTGCACTTATTCCTGACTCATGAAAACTGAGATAATAAATATTATTTTAAGCTGCTCAGTTTTAAGGTAATTTGCTATGTAATAGATAACTAATGCTTCATTAGATGTAGTAAAAGCACATAACAAACTCTTAACACTCATTTATGATAAAAGTTTTCAGCAGGGAATCTCCTGGTGGTTCAGATGGTTAGGACTCAGTGCTTTCACTGCTGGGGTGCAGGTTCAGTCCCTCATGGGGAACTTAAGATCCTGCAAGTTGAGTGGCACAGCCAAAAAAAAGCAACAAAGAATAGAAGGGAGTTTCCTTAATATGATCAAAAGCTTCCATGAAAAACCTACTGAGAATAAGAAGGACCAGATTTCTACACTGAAAACCGTTGTATATCAGGAATACATAGAGAAAGCGGGAGATAATAAAAAGAGGTGGCAAGAATACACAGAAGAACCGTACAAAAAAGATCTTCACTTCCCAGTTAATCACGATCGTATGATCACTCACCTAGAGCCAGACATCCTGGAATGTGAAGTCAAGTGGGCCTTAGAAAGTATCACTACGAACAAAGCTAGTGGAAGTGATGGGATTCCAGTTGAGCTATTTCAAATCCTAAAAAATGATGCTGTGAAAGTGCAGTACTCAATAGGCCAGGAAATTTTGAAAACTCGGCAGTGGCCACAGGACTGGAAAAGGTCAGTGTTCAGTCTAATCCCCAAAAGGGCAATGCCAAAGGACACTCAAACTACCACACAATTGCACTCATCTCACACACTGGTAAAGTAATGCTCAAAAATCTCCAAGTCAGGTTTCAACAGTACATGAACCGTAAACTTCCAGATGTTCAAACTGGATTTAGAAGAGGCAGAGGAACCAGAGATCAAATTGGCAACATCCGTTGGATTATCAAAAAACGCAAGAGAGTTCCAGAAAAACATCTATTTCTGCTTTATTGACTATGCCAAAACCTTTGTGTGGGTCACCACAAACTGGAAAATTCTGAAAGAGATGGGAATACCAGACCACCTGACCTGCCTCTTGAGAAATCTGTATGCAGGTCAGGAAGCAACAGTTAGAACTGGACTTGAAACAACAGACTGGTTCCAAATAGGGAAAGGAGTACGTCAAAGCTGTATATTGTCATCCTGCTTATTTAACTTAACATGCAGAGTACATCATGAGAAACGCTGGGCTGGATGAAGCACAAGCTGGAATCAAGATTGCTGGGAGAAATATCAATAACCTCAGATATGCAGATGACACCATCCTTACAGCAAAAAGCAAAGAAGAACTAAAGAGCCTCTTGATAAAAGTGAAAGAGAAGAGTGAAAAAGTTGGCTTAAAACTCAACATTCATAAAACTAAGATCATGGCATCTGGTCCCATCACTTCATGGCAGATAGTTGGGGAAACAGTGGCAGACTATTTTTGGGGGGCTCCAAAATCACTGCAGATGGTGACTGCAGCCATGAAATTAAAAGATGCTTATTCCTTGCGAGAAAAGTTATGACCAGCCTAGACAGCAAATTAAAAAGCAGAGATACTACTTTGCCAACAAAGGTCGGTCTCGTCAAGGCTGTGGTTTTTCTGATAGTCATGTATGGATGTGAGAGTTGGACTATAAAGAAAGCTGAGTGCCGAAGAATTGATGCTTTTGAACTGTGGTGTTGGAGAAGACTCTTCAGAGTCCCTTGGACTGCAAGGAGATGAAACCAGTCTATCCTAAAGGAAATTAGTCCTGAATATTCATTGGAAGGACTGATGCTGAAGCTGAAACTCCAGTACTTTGGCCACCTGATGTGAAGAAGTGACACATTTGAAAAGATCCTGATGCTGGGAAAGATTGAGGGCAGGAGGAGAAGGGGACGACAGAGGATGCGATAGTTGAATGGCATCACTCACTCAATGGACATGAGTTTGAGTCAATTCTGGGAGTTGGTGATGGACAGGAAGTTCTTACAGTCAATAATAACAAGGCAATCCAATTAAAAATAGGCCTGGGACTTTCCTGGTAGTCCAGTGGTCAAGACTCCGCACATCCATTGCATGGGGCACAGGTTTGATGTTTGGTCAGGGAATGAAGGTCCTGCATGCCGCACAGTGTGGCCCCCTAAAAAAAATCAATCGAAAGAAAAGAAAAGCCCTAAGCACTTAGACATTTCACCAAGGAAAGAGATGATTGGCTAATGAACACAAGAAAGAGTGTTCATTACTAAACTGCAGAATAAAACCACAAGAGGAAGTTTGACAAAGGCATTTATGATACATTTGGGAAAAGTTGAATACAGACTGGGTGTCAGACATTAAGGAATTAAAACCCTTATATGTTAGAAATATGTCCCCAAATATTTACAGGTGAAATATTATGTCTGGGATTTCCTCTAAAAAAATTGGAACAAGGAAAAAAAAGGAAGGAAATAGATGAAGTAGCAATAGTAGAATATTGATAAATGTCAAGAGTTTAATGATGGTATATGTGCATTCTCTGTTATTTAGTCTTGAGAGTATATTTGAGATTTTCCATAACTAAAAAAAAAAATTTAAATGAGGAACTTGACCACTGTGAGAAAAGAGCTTTTAACAAATTCACAAAGGAAAGCAGGCAGTAATATTACATCACTTAGTTTGTTTCAGCCTAACACTGGTCCATCCTCAGTATACCTTGCAAAAATCGGATTATTTTGTTAATGCCATACACAAGGTTATCATGAACAGAAAGAGATTTAAGAGAAAGAGTAGAGACAGCTTTTGGTTTTCATGTATGACAGCTTGCTCGCGTGTTCTCACTGGCTCTCTGGTGTGTTGCGAGTTTACAAAATGCCTGTAAATCTCTTATCAGCACAAATGTAGTCACTGTCGGTAGCTGTTAATGTTTCCAAATGTGAATCAAGAATGATCTTCCCCCCGTGCAAATTCTTAATCACAGCACAACTTTTTATCCATTGAGAACCTACCTCTTCCTCAGCATGAAAGGTCCCTGGATTTATAACTACTTTTTATTAATATTTGGGGTATGGAAATTTTATAGTTCTTGTAACACATGAGAATCATGTATGAAATTCTAAGGATGTGGTGTTTATTGAAAACTGTGTATAATATTATTATATGCTTAGTAGACTCTGTTCATATTTGTTTATTATTTTCTCCTTTTTCAGTACATGTACTAGCCTTAGCAAGTTCTGTTCCAAACTCAGGCACCTTGACTTGGCTTCCTGTACATCAATAACAAACATGTCTCTAAAAGCTCTGAGGTAAATTTCTTCTAACAAGAATGTCCATTAATCAGAACAAATACTTATTTAAGTTGGAATTGAAGGAAACTTTTGTTTTATAGATGTGTACTGTGGTTTGGAGTTGATTATTTGTTTCAACACTTGCCCAAATTATAGGACAAATTCAGGTGAAATGACTAGCAGTAACTAGGATTTCTGAACAGAATAGTACTTTGTACATGAATGAAGTGCTTAGCACAGGATTCTGTATGTAGTAAGCACTCAGTAGGTTTTAATTGTTTTAATGTGAATGTAATTTTTAAAACTACATTACAAAAAGATATGTCTTAAAAGGAGGATGAAGTGCTCATTCTCTGTACTTTTATTACTTTTGTTATCAACCTTTTATAAATGATTATGGTCCCATGCATTAGTTACATTTATGAATAATAATTAAATTATTAAAAGAAGAAATGTAAATTTAGTTAAGTACAGTGTAATATGAAAATGTGTCTCCTTCTATACCTTCTATACTTAGAACACATGTATCTAAGGCTGGTTAGTATAGTAAATAAGGTAGTATAACAGTGTTCATAGTTTATAGCACTTCACGTAAATGAGCTCATTTATTTGAAAATCTTGTGAGGTAGACACTTTTCAGATAAAATCTAAAACACTTCTGAATGCCAGTTATTGTGATTTCAACCATGGGAGGTAACTGAATAAGATACTGTTTCTACCCTTAGGTTTCTCAGAGTCTAGAAGAAGAAAAAAGACACTTAAGTATGTTGTATTACAGAGGAATAAGTGGCAGGGTAAAAATGAATGCATCAGTTTGAGGAGAACATGGAAGGACTTTTGCTAGTCTTGGTCTGAGAGAGGCTCCGGCAGACTTCCTGACGTGACTGCCTGAAGTCACAGTATTAATGCTGAAGAATGAACTTGAACCAAGACCCCTTGGCTTTATTTTATAAAACAAAGCAGTATTTTCCAAAGAATGCCCTAGAGCTTGGGATTCTTCTGTCGTTTAAATGTGAAATCAAAAAATGAAATAGTGTTTGATAGAAGGCGGAGATCTAATATCATATATCCTAAATTCAGCCTGTGTAAAATATACCCTAGATATGTCCCAGAAAAGAAAATTTTTCAGATCCTTTGTAATTTTTAAAAGAAAATTTTCCGTGTCCTCATTACTAATGCTTTGATAAGTGCTTGAATTGTTTGATAGAAAAATTTGAGATTGAATCTCATTCTTCATTAATTACTCTGTTAACTTGAATGAAGGAATCACTTAATTTCCATTTCCTGTCTGAGACCGTTAAAGTTATGACAAGTGCAGAAAGAATATATTTTGAAAAGTATAAAGCTCCATAAAATCTAATATATCTGAAAAACAGCATTGTGCTTGAGCTTGTTAAGGTAAATTTGAGCTAGCCCTCCTAGTGGTGTAGTCCCACGTGAACACCACAAGCATTGATAAATGCGCCTTTTGTTGTTATGGAATAACCAATAAAATGAGACACTGGTGCCTTTGGAGTTGGATTTAGTCATATGTTTGTTTCGTTTTGTTTTATTCCTAAGTGAGGGATGTCCACTGTTGGAGCAGTTAAACATTTCCTGGTGTGACCAAGTAACCAAGGATGGTATCCAAGCTCTAGTGAGAGGCTGTGGAGGTCTTAAAGCCTTATTCTTAAAAGGCTGCACACAGGTAATAATAACTCCCTCCCTTACTTTACATTGATAGAGGCACCATGAGCTTGGTGGGCAGCCCAAGATGTTGGCTAGAGAGATACGTAGTTGTGTGTTATTGACCAAAAACCCATGCTTACCAAAAATTATTTTCCCTAGAGTGAAAAAGTAGAGGAGGGAATTCCTTGGATGCCACGCTTCCAAAACTGCAGAGGGCATGGGTTTGATCCCTGGTTGAGGAATTAAGATCATGCATGCCATGCAACATGGCCTTCCCACACCCCCACCCCAACCCCCAAAAAAGGAGAAGAATTAACACCTGACCAAAGATAAATTTTTGAGGAGAGGCAAAGATGAGGAGACAAAATCATATAGAACAGGTGCTGTTGGCAAGAAGGGTTTCATGTAATGTAATCTGAAAAGAAAACATGCCAGGTTGTCACTGCCTGAGACCTTGAGCTGGATGTGCAAAGTTTATAGCAACCTACATTTTATAGTGTTGATGCTTATTTCCTGCCAGTCACATCACAAATCCAACATATTTTATCATTAAAATTTTTAATATCTCAGGGTTTTACAGTGGGGGAAAAAAGGAATTGACATGGTAACAACATCTGGAAGGAAAGGATCAAGAGTGGGTTTAGAAGTGACTGACAGAGTAGGGCTATGCTCTTATTCCCCTTTTTTTAAATTAACGGTTGCTAAAACCAGGCCTTGGGTTCTGTTTTTTTTTTTAAATGCCCTCATTCTTTCACCATAATGGGAGGATTTCCCATTGTTTGAAACAGCGCTTCGAAAGTATGACTGCCTTAAAACAACAGATTGAACTTCTGGTTATTTATGGAACCCTGAAAAATATTGATTGGGATGCATCATTATAGTCAAGTTACTTGCCATCTGGTCTCAGCACTGTATTCATAGCAGTGATCTTCCAGCAGCAGATAAACTGCAGATTCCTTTCTCAGCTCCTGTTCTCAGGTTTGTTAAGGAACTTTACATGGAGTGTAGAAATGTGAAAGTTACTTTAGTTTCAAAATCCTTCAGCAGAATGCTGTGAAGCATATTTAATTTATTAAAAGAAATATCCATGAACACTAGGCAGTATTTATCTTTCCCTTGATTTGGTGATATGAATTTAATGTGGCCCAAACTGATGACAAAGACTAATAACTACTAATTATATGAATTGCATTGTTATATGATTATTTGAAACTTGGTTGGCAACATTTGAAATATATTGATGAATGTGTACACTCTGTGTGTATGTACACTCTTAAACCTTTAAGATTTTAAAGTTTTAAAATATTAAACAATATCAGTAATAGTTTTTTCTCTCTTTTTAATTTTTCTAGCTAGAAGATGAAGCTCTCAAGTACATAGGTGCACACTGTCCTGAACTGGTGACTTTGAACTTGCAGACTTGCTTAGTAAGCAGTCCTTCCGACCACTCTTTTGTGCTAGTAATTAATTTCAGTAATGTTATTGTAAGAGTTTCAGTCATAAAGACCAGCAGTTTGTCCACTTCATCCCTGAGGATTCAAGTAAACATCATGCTTTTTTACATGCTCAGCAGTGCTCACTCCTAGGGCCTTTGACATAGATGAGATAGAGAGTAGCTTATACAGAATTCCAAGTAAGCTCAAGTATAACTCCACCCCTTTCTCTTCTACTTAGAAAAACTTACCTTTTAGAAGTAAATTATTCATAAACTTTGGCTTTTTTTTTTTTTCCAGTTTGTCCTTTAAAATATTTTTGGTAAATTAATTGCAGTCACATCATTTAAAGATCTATCAGTGGGTCATGACTATTGGGGACCACTGATATAAGTAGATGACAAGCAAAGTATAACTTTTAAATTATTCTCAATTAGTATTTATAGTTTACATTTGGTTTGTTTATTTAGACTATCAATTTTGTGTCTATCACAAACCCCCTGGATTTTGCTCGTAGAATTAACAAACTATTCAGGATCCAAGAACAGTGACAGTACACCTTTAACTTTTCTCTCTTGCCTTAAAAATTACATATGTGTGTTACTTTGGAGTGAGAGCCTCTCATCGAAGTGAAAAAAGTTAGTGAGTGTTTTCCTTGTTTTTGCTAAACCTTCTGGTTATTATACTTTCCCTTTATTCTTTGGTCACTTGAGACTTAAGAGCACAGTGGTCATTTTAGGGCGACACATAGAGGGCCATGTTTTCTGTAGTTTAAGCATCCTGTCCTTCCAGCCCTTAAGGGATGGTGCTATAAGTGATCTGTTTAAGATACTCCTGGAGACTGAGTTAACGGGATGATGTTTTGATTCCCATAGTTGCTAACTACCAGAAATTTGCCTACTTTGATTTATGAAACTGAAGTATTTGGCATGAAAGAAAGATCTTACACAACTTTTGTAAACATGAAACCGTCATCTTACAGTGATAGAAAAAAACTTATACATCTTCAGATTTTATTTATGTACACATGCACAGATATTATATGTATGTTACATACATATAAATACATACATACCATACCTAGCATTTACTATTTTAGTTTCATTTCCTCTACCCTTCTGGCATAAAGAAGCAGCTCTGTCATATGTTTCTTTTACTGTTTACCTTCACCCAGATCTTAGGGCATGAGTCATTCCATCCGTCATTCCTGTGCGATGTGATGAAATGATTCTCAGCATTCATAAGACTTCTTGAAGTTTCTGCCTAAAACTGTTGAAGTGACCAAAGTATATACTTAATGCAGTCTCTTCTTCTTGACCAATTTGCAAACATAAAAGTTTAGTAGATGTTTATTCTTTTTAAAAATCAAGAGTATTGGTAATATGACTTTCTTCATCTTTTTTCCTCAGTAATCCCTTATAGACTTTAAAACATGAAAAAAAAAGGCAGCACAGCCCTCAAAATACTTTCCTGTGTATATATGCCTTATCAACTCAATCTTATGACAGATCTTGAATCTGTCTTTGCATCCATTTTTCATTTGTGTTTCAGTTCTACAATACTGAGAGCATACTGATTTAAGCAGTGAATATTTAAAGTTTGAGGGTTTTTTTGTTTGTTTTTTTCAGTTGTCCTTACAACCGAAGAATACTGCTTGATTAAACAGAAATGACAGGAAAGCTTTATTCTGAGGCTTACACAAAATTAGTGAATCTATCAAGATAAGGATAAATTAGAATGTTGATCATATCCAACACAAGATGTTTATACATGACATCTTTTTTTCTAATGTAACATCTGTGTTCTTTTTCATTTTAAAATTAATAATTTGAAACATACAAAATTTGAGTTGGATACAACTGTTTCTCTCCATTAAATTAGGATAGTCTTTATAAAACTGAAATTTAGAAATAAATGGATCTATGGTTAATAAAAGACTGTAGTAGCCTCATCCACAGGTTGTTAAAGTAACTTAGTATCAAGTTTGAACTTGTAAATGTGTTTATACTGTTAAAATACTGCTGTTCTTATCTGTTTTCTAGGTTTTAAAATCATTTAATTGAACCTCCACCAAGATGCACCCCATGCTGTTCCCAGTCCTGTTACTCCCATTAGGTTAAAAGAACCCCATTATAGCTTCTTCCCTTTGCATCAGCAGTGAGCACAGATTCTCTTGAAAACTAAATCAAAAGGAACTGGAAGGAAGGAAGGAAGAAAGTGTTCATTTTCTTTTAGGTCTGCTACGTGATTAATATCAAATCTGCTTTTATTTCTTTTTGGCACTTACTTCACAGAGGTAACTTTTTTTTGTCTTTATCTTTGCTAAGTTACTGATAACTATGGGTTTTTCCCTCTTGTTTTTTTAGCAAATCACAGATGAAGGTCTCATTACTATATGCAGGGGGTGCCATAAGTTACAGTCCCTCTGTGCCTCTGGCTGCTCCAACATCACAGATGCCATCCTGAACGCTTTAGGTCAGAACTGCCCTCGGCTTAGGTAAACATTTCTTGTTTGTCTCAAAAAATCAGAGAAAAGGAGTGGCGGCCTCCACTCATGCTCATTCCTTGGAAACTTGAAATTTTTAAGGTAGACTCTAGAAGGCCACTACTACCTTTTCAGATGCCCACCTACTTGCTTCCTACCTCATTTGATTACATGTAATTGGCCTGAACCTGGGGGTAATAGTCCTCATTTTCTACTTCTTGCTGTCCATACTAGAATATAACTAGTACTAAAATAGCAACATTTTATCTCATTACTTGAAGAAAGAAAGAAAGGCATTTTTTTCTTATTAATGCTTTCATGTAATTTCTTTCTGAAGAAAATTTATAGAGGCCTACCTAGTCTGTTGTAGTAGTGGTGTCGGGTACATCGCGGGGAATATTTAAAGAGAAAAACCAATTCCTCTTCTGTACTGATGGTTTTAAAGCAAGCTTTATTTCTCTGTGGCTCCTCTTCTCTACCTAAGTACAAGATGGGCTGAGTATTTACTAAGAATGCTGTGTTATCAGACACATGGTATCAAGCCCATACTGATTTTTGGTCTTTAAAACAAAGCTTACGTTGTACTATATTAAACGTGTTAGCCATTGTTTTAAATGACTTACAAATATTAATTCATTTAATCATCATAACACCATATAAGCACTGTTACTATCTCTGTATTATAGATGAGAAGACCAAAGAACAAAGAGGTTGAGTAAACAGTTCAAGGTCTCACAATTAGTAAGGGCAGGAATAAGTATTCAGTCCCGAGCAATCTAGCTCCAAAACCTACAAAACCACTTTTCTTACCTATAATAATCATTGTAAACCAATAAAAACTTCCTTAAAACTTTTTTGTAATGACCTGACCATGGGCCTGTATATGGTTTGGTTTTGTTTTTTAACTTCTTTAGTAATTTGTCAGCAAACATGCAGTATTCTTCGCTACTGTCATACAGACACCACCAGACTTTTCACAGAAAAGAGCTACTACTTTTGATTCCCCAAGCCTGTGGTTGGTGTTTAGGGTTGTGTTCAGCAGTTCCTGAATAGGAGAGTGACTGCCAGCTCAGCTTCCTTCTCTGCTGGGCCTCCCTGGGAGCCTGTGGGAGGAGGCAGGAAGCTTAAGGATACTTTTTTCTTTTTTTTTTCATATATATGGAATTTCTTATTTGGGACAGGCCTATGATTAACCAGTCCCTTCATCGTATTTTTAAAAGCTATTTAAATCTGAGTGAACTTACATGTGAAATAGGGAAAGAGAATAATTTACTTTAGCAGCAAGATTAACTGAAACAAGAGTATTTATCTCCATTTCCTTTGTTTTCTAGGAGCAGGCTGCCCTCTGGGGGGTAAGCAGTATGCTATCACGAAGGCTTTTTAATGCGTTTATCATGCATTTTGGCATTAACTACAAGCTTCTATTATATTATTCTGATTGCGTCACCCTGAAATATATTTACAGGATCAGTTTTTGATCGCTCCATGAAAGAGATGGCAAGATCTGTATACAGACTTGCTTAGCTGTGAATGTCATTCTATGTTACATAGACCTTAGGGAATAGGAGGTTGTTTTCTTAAATTCTTGCTCTTTTAATAGACCTAGTTTTCAGGGACCAAGGGATTGACTTTCACTTCATTTTTTTTAACAGAATATTAGAAGTGGCAAGATGTTCTCAATTAACCGATGTAGGCTTTACCACTCTGGCCAGGGTAAGTGTTTTCTTCAGGTTCTGTAGGCTTTGTCCAGGATTTTTAATTTTAGAAGAATGATCAACATAGGGAAATGTAGGGGGTAGAAAATTGAGGTATGGGATGTGGAAAATATATCTCTGGCTGGTGTTCCTGAGCATTCTTGGGCTAAAGCTTCAGGCAAGTGCTCTGGAAAGGTAGACATGCATTGGAGAGCCTGACACTCCTTCATGAGACTTGATTTTCCACTTTTTCATAAGATGCTAGGTTAAACTGAGCAGGCATTTCCTAGTGCTTTGTGAAAGAAATTTACTTGGTTATTTGGTATACAACTGGTGAATGAATATTGAAAGAAGCATGTAAACCTAATCTAAATGGAGAGATTTTAAGAGGTTTTCTATATTCTCCACAGATATTAATACATGAAGTGGCTTTTAAGTCACTGTATAATAGTATTTAAAAGTATACCATCTTTGACCAGTGTAATGCACCACGAGGAAGGGCATTTGCTTTCAGGGCAGATCAATGGAGTACTAATGGGGGAGGGAACAGAGGGCAGCACTTGGCATAACTAGATTAGGACAGAGATTCCCTTCCTGTGCTTCCAAAGAAATCATTTTCATTAAATTGTTTTTGGTTGAAAGGATTTCTATATTTTCTCAGTGAGTATTCAGGAAATTTATTCCTTTGGACTTCTAAGATATTAGCTACTTTAAGTATGGAATAATTGAGAAATTCACTAATTCACTATGATACAGGCCTTTTTAAAAAGTGTAATTAATGGAATAAGGTAGAAAGTAGTATTAAAATGACACCAGTTCTGAAGCTCTTGAGATTTCATCAGTATATTTAATACTATTTCTTAGTTTTCTGACCTTTTCCTATATTTTAAATGTTTTTTCTATAATGTTGGGTTGTTTGTATTTTGTAGAACTGCCATGAGCTTGAAAAGATGGACCTGGAAGAGTGTGTTCAGGTAAGATTGTGGATTTTTACTCAGAAATACAGTATAATAGAAATGTACATAATATATGCACGTTGGAACATTCAATTCTCTACCCTCTCGTAGAGCCTGCTGGCTGTCCATTTATTGAGGTGTCCTGCAGGCATACCAGGCACAGGTGCTCATGCAATTTGTGCTAGGAAAATGCATGTCATCAGTAAGGTTGCCATTAGAAAGAAAGAAGGATCAGGCATTCAGATCATAAAGATATAAAGATATTTCTTTAGATCTACAGGGTTATGATACCAGTAAATAATTAAAGCCCCACGACACTGATAGATATCTGTCCCTTTTTAGCTTAATTGGACCCAGAGCCTCATATATCATTAACCCTAGAGACCCAACTCTGTGTGGAACCCTGTTCTTCAGGCAGGCTGACTTACTACCTTAATAACACTTTCTTTTATTACCACTGTTAAGAGCTTTGAGTTTATTAGTTGGGTAGGGAGAAATTTTAAAGGGGGACTCCTGAAAAGAAGATAGAGGACTTCCCTGATGATCCAGTGGTAACGAATCTGCCTGCCAATCCAGGGGACATGGGTTTGATCCGTGGTCCAGGAAGGTTCCACATGCCACAGAGCAGCTAAGCCCATGTGCCATAACCGCTGAAGCCTGTGTGCCCCAGAGCCCGCGCTCCACAGCAAGACAAGCCATTGCAATGAGAACCCCGAGCACTGCAACCATAGTAACCCATGCTCACCAGAACTAGAGAAAGGCTGTGCACAGCAGCAAGGCCCAGCACAGCCAAGGTATAAACTTTAAAAAAAAAAAAAAAGAGCAGTGAATTTTTTTAATGGTAAAAACAAAGAAGAGAAGATACTTTGGTAACCATAGCAGCTATATATTCAGTAACTATATATACTCCAGGTAACTTTATGTTAGCTGGACACTAGTTAGTACCTGTTAATCCTTATTAAACTAAAACATGTTCACATCCATCTCTTGCACATGCCTGTGTGTCCTTTCCGGCGTTAGTTCTTCTGAGTGATGCACACATGCTTGCCCACTCTAGTCCTCTACCCCCTGCCATTTCTTAGCCCCTGTGGAGTTGTGTGTATTATTATAATAATTTCAGAATTGGAGACAAATTTGAAAAGAAACGCTGATTTACTTTTCATCCTAAGATAATTATGAAAGACTTGTTTCTCAGGAGTTTTTCCTTATTGAATGTTCATAGTTAACCCAGCAGCTTCTTTCTGCCATCCTTGAGGAAAATAACTGACATACCAGTTACCAGTCCTGAGTCGTGGCATTGCTTATAAAAATATGGGTCAGGCTTCAGACTATACTACAAAGCCACAGTCATCAAGACAGTATGGTACTGGCACAAAGACAGAAATATAGATCAATGGAACAGAATAGAAAGCCCAGAGATAAATCCACGAACCTATGGTCACCTTATCTTTGACAAAGGAGGCAAGGATATACAATGGAAAAAAGACAACCTCTTTAACAAGTGGTGCTGGGAAAACTGGTCAACCACCTGTAAAAGAATGAAACTAGAACACTTTCTAACACCATACACAAAAATAAACTCAAGATGGATTAAAGATCTAAATGTAAGACCAGAAACTATAAAACTCCTAGAGGAGAACATAGGCAAAACACTCTCCGACATAAATCACAGCAGGATCCTCTATGACCCACATCCCAGAATTTTAGAAATAAAAGCAAAAATAAACAAATGGGACCTAATGAAACTTAAAAGCTTTTGCACAACAAAGGAAACTATAAGCAAGGTGAAAAGACAGCCCTCAGATTGGGAGAAAATAATAGCAAACGAAGCAACAGACAAAGGATTAATCTCAAAAATATACAAGCAACTCCTCCAGCTCAACTCCAGAAAAATAAATGACCCAATCAAAAAATGGGCCAAAGAACTGAACAGACATTTCTCCAAGGAAGACATACAGATGGCTAACAAACACATGAAAAGATGCTCAACATCACTCATTATCAGAGAAATGCAAATCAAAACCACAATGAGGTACCATTACACACCAGTCAGGATGGCTGCTATCCAAAAGTCTACAAGCAGTAAATGCTGGAGAGGGTGTGGAGAAAAGGGAACCCTCTTACACTGTTGGTGGGAATGCAAATTAGTACAGCCACTATGGAAAACAGTGTGGAGATTTCTTAAAAGGCTGGAAATAGAACTGCCATATGACCCAGCAATCCCACTTCTGGGCATACACAATGAGGAAACCAGATCTGAAAGAGACACGTGTACCCCAGTGTTCATCGCAGCACTGTTTATAATAGCCAGGACATGGAAGCAACCTAGATGCCCATCAGCAGACGAATGGATGAGGAAGCTGTGGTACATATACACCATGGAATATTACTCAGCCATTAAAAAGAATTCATTTGAATCAGTTCTAATGAGATGGATGAAACTGGAGCCCGTTATACAGAGCGAAGTAAACCAGAAAGATAAAGACCATTACAGTATACTAATACATATATATGGAATTTAGAAAGATGGTAACGATAACCCTATGTGCAAAACAGAAAAAGAGACTCCTATGTATAGAACAGACTTGTGGACTCTGTGGGAGAAGGCGAGGGTGGGATGTTTCAAGAGAACAGCATTGAAACACGTATATTATCTAGGGTGAAACAGTTCACCAGCCCAGGTTGGGTGCATGAGACAGGTGCTCGGGCCTGGTGCACTGGGAAGACCCAGAGGGATTGGGTGGAGAGGGAGGTGGGAGCGGGGACCGGGATGGGGAATACATGTAAAAAAAAAAAAAAAAAAGATACACTATGGTTGTGATAAAAAATAAATAAATAAATAAATAATAAAAAAAAATTTTAAAAAAGATTAAAAAAAAATATATGGGTCAGGGAAGGGGGTTCAGGATGGGAAATACATGTACACTCATGGTGGATTCAAGTCCATGTATGGCAAAAGCAATACAATATTGTAAAGTAAAATAAATAATTAAAAAATAAAATAAAAATTTGGGTCAGATATCTAAAAACTTGAGGATGTTCCTACATTAATATTTTTCATGGAACAGTATCTTCTGATTCACTTCTATGATGGTTCTAAGGAGGTCAGACAAAGTCCAGTGGATAGAAGTTATGAGGGGACAAGTTTTCATTTATTTCAAAAACAGTTTTCAACAGACCTGTTCAAAGATGACTAGATGAATTTAAGTCTAGCCTGGATAGATTCTCAAAAAAACAGGTTCTGGTAGCTGATGGGATTTCAACCTTAAGATTCTGTTGTTTGATGATTGGGATATCAGTCTGGCGGCGTAGTCAAATGTGGTATGGCCCATGAGTTTTTTGCAATTACACCTAAAATAAACTTAAATGTTTCTTTCAGATAACAGATAGCACATTAATCCAACTTTCTATACACTGTCCTCGACTTCAAGTATTGGTGAGTTTGATTTTGGAAATTTTATATATTTATTGGATTTACTCAAAATTGAGCTATTGGTGTCTGGTTACCATCTTGGGAAAGTACATTTCTCCAAATTGTCAACTTACAGAAGACCAAGCAAGGACTTAATCTCAAGGGAGAAAGATAGAAACTGGTAAAGTTAAATGTTTTCTCTGTCAATGCTTGGAGATTGAAAACTGACAGAGTTTTTCTCCCTCCTGCATGAATTACACTCCAGCCTGAATGATGCTTAAATTTCCAGAGGTCCAAGAGATGAGATGGCCCCAAATACAGTCTGCTTCTCATTGGGACTAAATATTCCTATAAAATAGAACCAATCAAAGCTTTACTTGGAGGGAGTTTCTGCTACTGCTTCCAGTAACACTGTGAGAAAGAATTTAGGTTGTCTATTCTGTATCTAGGCTCATTTTTGGTGTTGTGTAGCAGATTAAACCAGGTTTCAGTCAAGGCTTCTGTGTTTCACATGGAGGAACCAGGGATTTAAGGAAAACTTGTAAAGTTAACAGGTGATCACATCTTACAGCTGTAAGAATCATCTTCAGGTAATAAACTATTTGGGCATGCCCTGCATCAGGTATTCAATATTTAGTCCAAATTTCAAAAAAATTTTATAGGAAAAGCTTGAGCCCCCTCCTTGTCCCAGTAAGAGAGGAAAAAGTATTAATTAATAATTTGTGTGTCCAGAGGGTTGTGGGAGATGTCTTATTTTGTTTATGAACTATTTCACAGTCATTATAGGAATTCTCAAGATGTATTTAGAATCACCCGGAGAAATGTTGATCTTTGATTATCAAAAGCAGAATCCCACTGACTCTGATATGCATTCTTCATTTCACCACATGGCTCTAGTGATGGCTCGATATATTTCAGAATCAAACCAGAAAGTTATTTTGCCTGATTACACACAGGCCTCTGATTCAACGAATGCCATTAAATATTTCAGTGTCCTTCCCTGCTCTATTTGGCTGCAGAGTCTGTCTCACTGTGAGCTGATCACAGACGATGGAATTCGTCACCTGGGGAACGGGGCCTGCGCCCATGACCAGCTGGAAGTGATTGAACTGGACAACTGTCCCCTAATCACAGATGCATCCCTGGAGCACTTGAAGAGCTGTCACAGCCTCGAGCGGATAGAACTCTATGACTGCCAGCAAATCACGCGGGCTGGAATCAAGAGACTCAGGGTAAAGATGGCAGCATCACCCTCTGGGTCTAGTTTCTCAGCACTTTCCTTTTTTCTTTTCTCCCCCTCCATTTCTTTTTCTAAGGTTTAGATTCCTGTGATATTTGTATTTACCTGGATTCTCAACAAAGAGAAAAAAAGATGGCTGGCAAACCAAAGGGTAGATAGTTCTTTCCTATTGTTCCTGATGGAAGTTTAGCAGGAAGAAAAGAAATAATGAAAAAAATTTAGTTAAATGGGGTTTAAAATTTTTAATTTGTATAGCCTTTCATATCAAACTCTTGTGCTGGGGTTCTTTTTTTTTTAAGACAGCAAATGGTGGTTGGATCACACAGTTTTTTACCTTTTCGTTTTGCCCCTTCCTTCATAACAGACTCATGTATAGCCAAATCACTGAAAGACAGGTTGCCAGCAAGGAGGTTATAAAAGACTAGATGAATCTTTGTGTTGGATTTTTCTGCTCAACAGACATTTATTGGAACATCTGCTCCACACCTGTTGTGGGAAAGGCACTGTGCTTAATTTGGCCCTTAGAACCAACCTTTAAAGATATCTGTGTTGGCCTTAATAGCCTCTGAGTACATAAAGGAGCAGCAGATTTAAGTTGAAGTTTCAGTTGACCTCAGTTCCACCTCTCTCTTTAGACCTGGAGGACTGAGAATGTAACTGCAGTGGGAAGACCTTGCATCCATATCTCTTCTTTACCAAAAGAGGAAAGCCTCAGGTCATCCAGAGCTGCTTCTGTGGCCTATGGTCCCTAGGCCTGCCTGGCTGTATTCCACCCCAGCCAGGGATTCCACCTCTGAATCCTCAAGAATCACTTAGCACTCTTCCACTCTAGCTATCTATGTGCATGTCTAGACTCCTAAGTTCCCTAAGAGCAGGATCTCTATCTTGACCATTGTCCCTTTACAGAATTAGCACAATGCTTTGAACATAGTAGGAGTTTAGAAACCATTTATGTAGTAAATGTTAGAAGCATGTTAGTTAATAGAGGATAATGGGTTTTTAAAGATATCAGAGGAAACATTGTCCATAATGGTTTGGAAAAAATTAATTTTTAAGTTTATATAATTTCTTCCAGCTATAGGAGTCCAACCAGGAATCCCTTTGGGACAGGTTAAGAGATTAGCATGACTTTTGCCCCCAGTTTTATTATTATGGAAGCAGCTACCAAAGGAATGTGAGCTGATATGGATGGTCTTTTAGAATAACCTGGGATGGTATGAAGTAGAACCTAGGTCTCAACATGCTCTCCGTGCTCAGCCTCTGTTCTGCCTTCATGTCCACTCAGTCCCTCTGGTTTTTGTGAAAAACAACCTTGTTGTTTCTGTTGAAGGCCTCCCTCTTAGTAACGTTTCTGTCTTGTTTCAGACCCATTTACCCAATATTAAAGTCCACGCCTACTTCGCACCTGTCACTCCACCCCCATCAGTAGGGGGCAGCAGACAGCGCTTCTGCAGATGCTGCATCATCCTATGACAATGGAGGTGGTCAACCTTGGTGAACTGAGTATTTAATGACACTTCTAGAGTTACCGTGGATCTCCATTGGAAGCAATCCCAGTGTTCCGGGCAAAGGTTACAAAGTGAGGGCGGTGTCCAGATCCCCAGAGCCACACATAAATACACATACCCACTCTCACCCTGACCCAGTCTGTCTCTGTGACCAGGGGACTGAGTTCGTGCTGGCTTTATCATGTGGATTGGTAAAACTTAACCATTCCTGTTGGATGTGCCCAGAAGAAAATCATAAGCAAGATAGATGGAAGGGGGCATTCCAGCAAACCCAGTGTTACTGCTACTGTGGTTTCTTTATTTTGTTAAGGGGTTTCTTTGGCGATTTTGGAACAGCAACTGCAGTCCTCCAGGGTCAAGGAAAGCATAGAAAAACAATACATGTTGTATCAGGGACCAGAGGGAAAATTTCTTTGCATCCTATAAATGGTAGCCATCCATTGTGAGATGACTAAAGAGTTTCTGTGCTTCCTTGTTCCCATGCCAACATGCTGAGCATGCTCACAAAGAAGGCTTGTCCATTCCTCCTCCTGTGTTTTAGTATTTGGCCCAGAGGTTTGCTAAATGGTTGCATTGAAATCACTGTGGTCCAGATGTGATGACTTATTCACTCAAATTGTCACTGTCTGTAGCACACTGTGTACCTGTCTGTCATTCTCTGTTGCTCCCTCCTGCACTCTTGCTCAGTCTGTCATCTGTTCATAGTCTGCTTACTCACACTCAATTGTTACTCCTTTGCTGTTGTTGTGTTTACAGTTGCATTTTGGATGATTAGTTGGGGTTACCAAACATTTTTAAAAGAGACATTATCAATAAATATTTTTTTAATTCTAAATTTTACCATTAGGGGACCCTGCCTGAATCTTTGCCAGTCAAGAAAAATTATGAGAGGAAATTGAGCTAAGACTATTTTGATGAAAACAAACTTTGCCTTTTGGTTTTTGTTATATCTTGTGATAAATGATAATATGCATGATACACCCAGTATTCCCCCCTGCACATTTTTCCTTCCATGTAACTTAATAAGGAGAGAGAAATGCATTATTAGGAAAGAGTGGAATGGCAAATCCCAAAACTGAAACTGAAAGCCACCTCCACCAAAGCTCAAATATTGTGTTTTGACCAAAAAAATCTAGGTGTGATTAGTGGCATCTCTGATTTGTACCTGTGAGATTTGTTCTACTTTAGCAGGAATGCTGCTTGAGGAGTTATGCGATTGAGCTGGGCTGTTTCTCTTTTTTTCCTCCCATTTCAGCTTATCAGGGATGCAAGAATGACCCTATCACAGCTGGTCAACTGTACATCAGTGTTTGGTATCATATCTAATGTTGGAGCCTCAAAGGACTAGAACCTTTTCAGAACCCATCAGCCATCTCTCTCTTGAGTTCCAGACTTTCCATGAGTGAAATATCAGAGAAGCCAGGTAAAGGCATTGGGGTGGCAGAAAGAGAACGCTGAGAGGAAGTAGGGGGTTCAGTGTCTTGGGCAGCCTGGCCACCAGAGCTTAGAGCAGAGTATTCAGTGCCCATGACTCAGAGTCAAAGAAGTTCCCCCACCAAAAAAAAAAAATCATAGAGGATAAGGGAAATAAAATGAGTTTCTGAAGTGTAAGAAGTAGATTTCTAAACATCAAGGTTAGAAACCTTGTGTGATTTTTTTTTTTCCTTGTGTGATTTTTTAATAGGGTGACTTTTGTTTTTTTAGGACATTAATGTGCAGCCCACCACAATCTTAGGTCATCTTCTACATGATTCAGGCTGTTAAAAGGCTTGTTTTAATGCTGCAGGTGTTAGTAATACAAACATATGTAAGAATAAAATGTGATCTACTTTTCCATAAGCAATTAATTGAAAAGGTCCTAGGAATCTACTATCCACCATTAGTTAGCATGTTAGATTTATTTTAAATCTTATTTTATTATTACACCCTTTTAAAAGCTCAAATTATATGTATTTTTCATTTCCTTTCCCTTATCCTCTTTTCAGGTTACCACATAAGGAATATACTTTTTCAAAGTGAGACCCACTCTCCTGGCTATATCCCACATATATACATATACACATTTGCACACACACTTCTAGATGTGGTTGAAAATATTCAGATCCCCAGGTAACTGGGGCAACAGCTCTAACATACAAAGTTTAAAAAAAAAAAAACATAGTGCCTGAACAAACCTTTGATTTATTAGTGAGTGTGGATTTTAATTTCCCAACAGTTGAAGTTCTTGAGGTACTTCTTTATTTAAAAAAGGAACAAACCTATTCACTAGTACATGAATGTCTTGAAAATGCTGTTTCTCTTCTCAAAGAGTGCACCCACGTGCAAGTCTCTGCGGACTTGTGCGGGTGAGAAAAGTCAAGTGAGAAGAAAGGCCCTGGAGTAAGCAGCTCTGGTGTGTATAAGGTCAGGCAGGAGCCTTGTTCCTTTCTCAAGAAAACTTGAGGCCCATAAAGCTTGGAAGGACATGTATTTTTATGCCAATCTGAAACCTGTGTCGGTTGATGAAATATGCAGGACTTTGAGAACCCATGGTAAGTTTTGGTCAGGTGGAAAGGGTCCTATCATTTGAACGTAATATTTCCTGACTCAACATTAGTGACTCTTGAAAATCCATTAAGGCTTTTCAGATGTAGGAAAAACTTATTGGTCCCTTTGTCTGACTCCAGAGTATGCCTTCAATTTAAAAAAAAAAAAAAAAGCGTGAACAGTGAGAAGAGATTTAGACAAAGTAAGAAGGTATCCTCAAAGTTATTACACATCCAGATCATCTCTTTTCTAAGCAGCCTTTTCCCCTTATGTTTTCCAGCATCATCAGTATCTTTTACATCTTCATTGACCCTACTTGTGAAGGTGATAATTCCAGCTTTTTGTGTGTGCGTGTGTAGACTTCCATTTCCTTTCTATTACCCATTCTTGCCTTCTGTTTAAAACTTCACTGCCAGTGATAGTGCTAATTTATTTCCATGTCTTCAATCTGGCTTCCTCTCTGAATTCTTGTCCTGATCTGGGCAACCTTGAATTAAGTAACCGTTAGGCAGCTCAGGCCATTTTTCACTGAGCGATCTTTGATGTTTGCTTACTAAATTTGAAATCAAACTGTCAGATAAAAGAAATAAGGGAATCTGGCTTCTTCCCTTGTTTCCAATATTTGGAATATGGAAGCACATTGTGCTTTTATGTAAAAAATATCTCTCATCTTATTCTGCTCTTTAGTGGATGTAGAAGTATTTCATAAGTGGTTTTTATAAATTTCCACATCCATTAAGTTGATTTAGTCAGACATGTTAGAATTTTTTCATATTCCTTATATCACCTTTTAAAGGGAAATCTGGTGAATATTTTTATGATGCTTTATTTTAGGCTTTCCAAACTGTTTGAATGGTTCAATATAGCTACAATGCTGTAGCAGTCAAGTTCTTTTATTTCTCCTAATTGCTTTGTAAAATGCATTGTTACTGGTTTGATAACCTACAAATGCCATGGGAGGCTAAACAAAGTACGAGTTAGAACCTGTCTTAGTTTGAAGTTGTTAGGAAGTGTGATATCCCAGGAAAGAAGAGTTGGTTTCCTGTCTGCCTGTGGGCGACATATCCTTGGTGACTGTGTTGTTTAGAGCAAGGAACACTTGGTCATGGTGGACCCTTGTCGATTTAATGTTTATTGGGCTGAAAGTCAGATTGCTCATGACAGCTGCCACCAGAGAGGAAGGGTTTAAAGGAAATGGGTCTGTCCTGTTTTTCCCCCTTGCTGTGTGCATGATTTAAGGTTAGTTTTCTATCCCTGTTGTGCATCCTGGCTGACAGACTCCTTCCGTGGTATGCTTTGAGCTTCTGAAACACTTTATTAAAAAATTGCCTTCCCTATCTGCCCACTAGTTCTAGGATCTTTAACCACCTCAAACCTAGGCCGTGTGAATTAGTCAAGTCTTGTTTGAGAAGACAGATAGGATGTTTCATTGGAGGTCTTGAGGCAGAACCCTCCCCCTTACAATGATCTTGGACCAAAGAACCCTAAAGTGGTAGGAGCGTGAGGGGAGTTAAAAAGTCTCAGCCTCTCAACCTTTATTTCTATCATAAATGCTAATTAGAAAATTGGAAGATACAGAAAACTGTATACAACCATTTCGGTAGGGTATAATTAATCCAGGTAATTTGGCTTGTATTTGCTGTGTCCAGATGTCCAAACTTAACATGACATCTCCAGCAGAGGGCATGCTGCTCTAACTTGCCCTCTCACTTGAAACAAACTTTCTACCATTTGAAGCAAGTGAGTTTTCTGCAGGAAGGGCTTCTGCAGCCCACCCACCCCCCTGCCCCATGCCCCAAGGCAAGTCTACCTGTTTTGCCCATTTTTATCCTTAAGAATGTCAGTTCTGCATCTCTGGAGCCTTCAATCCCTAGGAAAGTCAGTAAGAACTTCTCAGCTGAGTCTGAGTGAATCTTTGAAGCCCAAGAGAATTACATTTAATTTTCAGCAGGAAAAAAAAAATTGTTGGACAAGTTTACATGGGTGTTAAGAAAAATGCCATAATGCACTTCTTACATCTCTGCCTCCTGTGTTTGTTGAGTAAGACTTACTTAAGTTTGTTAAGTAAGAAGTTGGTTCCCAGGTGTTGAGACTCAGTGCTTCCTCAGGCAGGGTGGTTCACTGCCCTTTTAGAAAAAAAGAACCATGAACAACCAAAACTATATCAGTTGATCCTTTTTGTTTTCTGTATTTTTCAGTGTCTTGTTTTGAAGAATCAGGGTGGGGAAATGGTAGTTGCAATTCAAAGTAAAGGAGAAAATTGGTTCTGGAACTGGGGTACTTTGCTTCAGGTACGAGCATCTGTCCTGAATATGTAGAAACAACTGCCTCGCATGTGAGCAGATTTACTTTCCATCTAATGAACTCCATGCCCTTCTTCCTGGCAAGGAGGGCTTCTACTTTGCACACAGCCGACCAGTGTCACCCAGAAGGGGATCGGCACCACTGAACACCACCAGTGCTTCCCAGCAACTTCTGGGCGTGGTTGCCACCAGAGCAAGAGCAGGTAGGAAGTCATCGAGAACTCCCATCTCAGGGAGAGAGGAGGGAAGAGAGCTGTCCAGACACGTGTTCTCAACTGCCGTTCCCCCAGGAACCCAGGAAAACCTTTGAAGTATTTTTTTTTTTAATTAAAGTGAAGGAAGAAGCTTTGCCCCACTAAGTTTTGGCTTGTCAGTGTCTCTTATACCGCTTGTTATTATTAATTCAAACCTGTCCCACACTGCTGCTCACGTACATGTATGTTTGTTACCTTGGCCTAACCCTTCTCAGCCCCTGATGTCATTATTCTGTGTTTTCTTTTTTTCATGGCACTAGTGAATGAGAACCTAAAGTCTTAGAAAATCCTAACTTGAAAAGGAGTCTCTAACTGGCATGGTTTGATTAATTCCTTTACCTTTCCCCTCCCAAAGACTTGAATGATTTTCTTTCCTAGTGCTATATAATAGACCTATAATAAGTGAAACCTTTGCTGCTACTTTTCTGGGTTTACATCAGTTTTTTGTTTTTTTCCCTCCCCTTCCCTTAAGAATAATTTCTTATCTGTGCTTCTCTGATGACTGTTAATTTCATAAGTACAGGAAGTGGTGAGCCTGAGATTTCTTCTCTCACTTCCCTCCTTACCCTGCCCTCCTAAAATACACTAACCTCTAACATATGCAAGATCTGTGAGATGGGGCTCATCATAAGATACTTGTGGGTGTTTTTCTTCCTCACCACGCTGCAGCTCTCAGAGCTGGCCCCTGAGGATCTGTGACTACCCAGTCCGAAGAATTGCTCCGGGGAGAGAAAGGCCTTCTTAATTTTGCCTTTCTCCATTCCTGTTTTACGATCACCCTTCAGATGCCTCCTGTTGTGGCTGCCTCTTTTCCCCTCCTCCCAGGAATTTTTTTCCAAGCAGCCTGCCTCGGTCATTTCCCAGCTCCTCTCCTCACCGTTGCCCACCTTCCAGGGACCCTGAGAGCCCAGACCTGAGAAACAGGCCTGTGCAGAGCTCAGAGAACTGTGAGGACTCCCCCTGCCTGTCAGACTCTGCTTGGGGACAGAGATGGATGGGTAAATGGTGCTGTGGGAGAAATTTTATCTTCAAACCAGGCTGTTTGACCCTTGCACTACCCCGCCTCCACCCCCACTCCCTGAGGAAGGGGTAAAATGCAGAGGATGGTTGACTGGCAGGGTCTGATCCCCAACATCACTGTCTGGCCTAAGTCTTGTCCAGCCATTCGGCCTGCCCTGGAGTGAGCGCTTCGGTGTATGGGAGCCGCTGCTTGCTTGTTTCTCCACCAGGCCTGCCCCAACACTTAGCCGGTCCCTGGGGCCAACACAGTTCCCTCTGTGGTGACCTAACAGCAGCTTCCATTAGCTGTCCAAGCAACTGTGTTTCCACCCAGTACTTTTGGCGCTTGAGATTGGGGGTGGGGGGTGGGGGGGGTTATTTAAAATAAATAAAATCCAAGGTGGCAGTAGAGGATTCCTTTTGCTTTAAAAATATTTGGATTAAAAAGAAAAAAAAAATGTTTTTTATATATAAATATATAAAGTAAATTGTTATGTAACTATTATTGTTTCCTGTATGTTCTAATTTTTGTTTTATGATGTAATTAAAGGAAATAAGCTGTGAAGACTTTTCATTTTGCTGCGGAAATAGCCTGACTTGTAGCTAAGAATCTTAACATCCTTGAACCCTTGGTGTGTAAAGGCCCCTGAGGCTCAATCTTTTGGGCATCTTTATTTATTTTTTTTTTGCTATCCTTTAATTAGTACTCATCATTAATTTTTTAAAGTATTTAGTATCTTTTCAATAGCCTTTTCAACAGCCTTAATATCCTGCACTCCACTTGTCTCTAAGAAAAATGGAGGACATAATATAAATCAGAGTTTATAAAAAACCTTTGTCTTAATTAATTTGATAGTAACAGTTCAGTCTGAGTCCCTTATCTGTGCAGAGCATTGCCCTTAGACTAAACAGGAGTGAGGGAGTAGTGTAATGGTTCATCACGTAAGTTCCATGTTAACCAGCTCTATCTCAGTTAACCGCTCTGTCTCAGTTCTTTGTTGGTAAAGTGGGGACGACAGTACCTGTTTTAGAGTTGTGAAGATTAAAAGCAAAAATAGTGGCATACAGTGAACACATTACCTGCTTTGATTTGCTTCATTTCAGTATCTAGTCTGCTGGAGGCTCCTAGCTTGAAAGATAAACAAAGGCTAAATACAATGGGGTCCCTATCCTTTGGTGGAGATAGGGACTAGTAAGTAGAGCCAGATCAGCAACCTTGATTTAGATCTCAGGGTGTTTACCCTGCCCTGAAACACACCTGGGGAGCCCTGTGGGATCATGAGCCTCACTTGAAATCCACTCATACTGCGTGAAGTAAAGGCCTAGTCTGGATTGGTCATCTGGGGCCGACGGGATCCCACGCTGCCTTCCAGGGGTGCAAGCAGATACGTGCCTGCTTCCTTGTCCTTACTGAGGCAGCCTTGGCCTAGGAGATCAGTCCTGGGTGTTCATTGGTAGGACTGATTTTTGAAGCTGAAACTCCAATACTTTGGCCACCTGATGGGAAGAGCTGACTCATTTGAAAAGACCCTGATGCTGGGAAAGATTGAGGGCAGGAGGAGAAGGGGACAACAGAGGATGAGATGGTTGGATAGCATCACCGACTCAATGGAAATGGGTTTGGGTGGACTCCAGGAGTTGGTGATGGACAGGGAGGCCTGGCATGCTGCAGTTTATGGGGTTGCAAAGAGTGGGATGTGACTGAGCAACTGAACTGAACTGGCCTTTGAGGGACGCAAGTTCTAGGTCTTTGACCTTCAATATGCAGATTCTCCCTTCCCTTCCTTTAATCCTGTTAATCAGTTCAGCCAGTGTTTAGAGCCTTCCTCCTACCTACCCTTCCTAGCCAGAGGTCAAGACTCACCTAACCAGGTTTAGGACTCACCAGAGATGATCAGTAAATGACAAATGTGGTAAATGATTAATAAAGGCATTTTGCTCTGTCTTCCACACCATGCACACATGAGTTTTTCTTTTCAGTACGTTTAAAATTTTCTATCAGAAAGTTTTAAGGGAAGGGAATTGAAAAAAAAAAAAAGAATGGAATAAAACAATGCCTAATATCACTTACTAAAAAGTACCTAATTTAATATAAAGTTGGTTTTCTACATGGAAAAAAAGACAGAAAATTAAGTTTCAGGTAGATTATAAACCTAAAAATGACACAAAATTAAGATTTTAATTCAACTACATTTAAAAAGAAAGCTCCATAACCTCACTGTTCAAGAATAGTTGAGCACCTTGGGACAAGAGTTCCTTATCTATATTGCCAGGGTGTTTGCCTCACAGGCTTGGCCAGCTCAGCTCAGCTTGTCTCAGGGGTTCCAACAGCTTGCTGCTGAGCAGAAAGAAACATGAGCCTGGGGCCTGCTTGTAGGACACATCACAGTTTGGCTCTTCACCTGAACCCTGGTGAAGCATCTGAGGATTTTAACAAGGCTTCTGATGAACATAGGACCCCAAAGAACCAGGCTTGCACCAGTCTCCTCCTCTTGAGCAGGGCACCTCTGGGCCTAGGTCAGAACCAGGTAGTAGCCATCTGGATTCTGCACTGAAAGCAGTTAAAAAAGGGGGCTCTAGTGGAATGAGGCGGACCTCCAACCTACTGTGCTGCTCCCAAACATCAAAGCAGCCTGTGGTACATCTGCCACATCAAGTGTTTTTCCAGGGCCCCCGATTCCAGCTCTTTAGGAGCCCCCTGGGTACAGGAGCACAGAGGGAGAGAGGGCAGGCAGTGACTAACCAGGACCACCAGCCTGCTGCTCAGAAGTGCTCTGCTCCAGGTGATGTCCAGCAAGCCCCTGCCCTCATGACCAGTGTGACTGTTGGTGGGGTTGAGGCAGTGTGGTGTGGAGAACAGCTTTCCCTCTCCTAATAACTCCCTGAAACCAGGGCGTTTTCCGCCCCGGTGAGAATATTGTTACTTTTTACTGAGCAATGAGTTCTTGGCTATATGACTCTGTCTCTTTTGACACAAAGCTGGCATGGAGCAGATGTTCACCACTTGGTTGGGGCACAGCACCCACAACACACCTTCAAGGAAACTTTCAGCCTCATATAGGAGACAGTGTAAGACAATCTTACCCTTTCTAGGGCCTGCCAGGCACACAACCGCTCCCTCTAAAACCCCTACCTTTCTTCACCACAGCCACAGAGTATGATTCATCTTTAAGATTCTGAACCACCTGCAAGGGAGAAGGGGTCACTAAGACAATTCTGTTCTTAGAGCCAAACAGAATAAGCTATGGCAGAGACAGCGAGACTGGGCCTGAGGTTGGAAGAGTATTTCAGGCCTTGGAATGTGCAGGGAACCACTGCCTACTTTACCTGGTCACTGAGGAGAATGAGGATGCCCCTGGGGCCCTGATGGAAAAGATGATAGATCTGATTGGCTGGGAGGGCCAGGAGTTCAGCCAGTTTCCCCAAGAGCTCTAAGCACTGAGTTCGTCCAGAGAGATCTCCTGATAAAAGCCTGGGGGTGTGGGCAGCACAGGGAACAGGAGTCAGTGGCGGGTGCCACTGCCCAGAGGGCAAAGTAACAGTTCATTGGGAGGTGCCCAGATGGGGAGGAGTAAAGGAGAAAAGCTTATAAGTTCACTTCCATCTTCACCTCCCATTCCTTACCTCTGGCAAGGCCTCAAATTGAGAGGAACCTCCAGTTTAAAGAAATGATGGGATGCCATATGAATGACTGAAGTCCAGATACAATAAGATTATAGTGTTCTAGTCCCTTGTACCAATAGAATGACAAATTTGGATGGAATTTGTGGAATCAGAGTGTAGAGCATGGAGGAATAAACCCAGGGAGACATCCTGGAAGACTAGTCAAATCACAAAAGATGAGAATGCCAAGGGCATGCTGGGTCCCAGGCTAGAAGAGGTTTCATGCAGCCACGCCTGGCTTCTTTTGTTTTCTGAAGAGGCCAGAACCTCACCTGAGTCAGGGTTCTTAGGAACCTCATCGTCTTGCCTAGAGGCCTCCTGAGCAACATATAAGGTCAGCCGGTGTCGGATCGGCCTGGACCAAGAGAAAAGTCTACAATCATACCTGAACTAACAGGTCCCAGTTTTAGCCCCTTTGGGAGAATCCCACCTCCTCCCAGGTGTCTAGGGAGAGGGGTCACCAAGATTTAGTGAACGCTGGACCCTGTGGGGAAAGGAGAAAAATCCACCTTTACTCCCAGAAACAGTGATGCACACGGGATGGCCACAGAACAAAGTCACAGCAGCCTAACTTTAAGCCCAACTCTGCTAGGCTTGCTCTGACCTCAGGCAGCAGGTTGCCGTCCTCCTCAGGTTTCTTACTATCCTGAGTTTCTTATTTTGTAAAAAGAAGTGGGGGTAAGTAGTTTTTCAGGTGCCTTCCACTTAAACATTCTATGAAACAGGACTGCAGCTGAGTTGGTAAGTGCTGCTACACTGGGAAGGCTTCCCAGGTGGCACTAGTGAAGAACCTGCCTGCCAATGCAGGAGACAGACAAGTTCAATCCCTGAGTTGGGGATGATCGCCTGGAGAAGGGTGTGGCAACCAACTCCAATATTCTTGCCTGGAGAATGCCATGGACAGAGGAGCCTGGCAGGCCGCAATTCATAAGGTTGCAGAGTCAGAGGTGACTGAACTGACTTAGCATGCACACACTGCAGTGAAAAGGGAATCCTGGTTGGCAATGCCCAGCACCTGGCTCTGAGAGTATTGAAAAGGCGGATCCCGTCAGCAGCTCCACAGATCTGGATAAGGTCCTGGCGAGTAAGCTTCAGCAGATCAGTGCCTGCAAAGTCAGACAGGGCTAGATTAAGGAAAGAGAGGCCAGGATCAAGTGTGGCAAGGGATACAATCCACTGTTAGTCTACAAATAGCCCTAGTATATCCAGACATGGGAGTCAGACTTGGATTCAAATCCCACCTCTGCCACTGGCTAGCTATGTGCCCTTGGGCAAGTTATTTAGACTCTCTGAGCCCTGTCCTCAGGCGTGAGGTATAAATTGTATGAGATAATGCACAAGAGAGCCTAGCAAGCATTGTGCTTTGTCAACAATTAGTTCTAAATAAAAGTCAGTTGAAGGACACAGAGCAAGCCAGGACAGACAGGCTTCCTGCCTGAGGGCCCTCAGTCCCCTCCAGGTCTGGTCCCTACCTGTGGGCCAGATCCCAGCCTCACCAGTGAAATTGGCCAGCAACCGGCAGTAGCTGAAGAACCGGTGCCGATGCAACCACTGCTGTGTCTCTGGGACGGAGGCTCCAGGGTTCAGATCCCGAGGCATAAAGAGTGGTCCAAGTAGCACCATGGACTGAGAACAAGATGGAGGGGTAACATCCCTGCCCTTGGGGGTCCCGAGTCTGAGAAGGGAGGCTCATCCTGCCTGAGGGACATGCCCGATGCCATCAGGCAACCATTTTGCGATCTGTGGCCATACCACATCTGCCCACCAGGGGGCAGGGCCACCCTGTTAGGGAGAAAGATGGAACTGCTGAGAAGGCTTCGGAAAGAGTTGGGGGTGGGGGGAAGCCTCACAAGAGCTAGGCTGCCCCTCAAGGTGTCCAAGGCGAATGGTGAGGAGCAGAGGCTGTGGGGGGGCAGGGAGTCTGGCTCAGGGGAGCAGGGTGGCCAGTCTCCTGCCCCCACGTCCCTAGGCCTGTCCTGGTGTCAACCACATGTTCCCCAGAAGCTCCCTCAGCGGCACCCCTGGGCCTGCCTCCTGAGTTGAGGGCTTCTCTCTTCAGTCTCACCCCAGGGGCTGATAGGAGGTGTTTATCCTGCCTCACCTCTCAGGGGACAGGAGCTTGCAGGAGTGGGGAGAGGTCAGAGCAAAAGGGCTCAGAGGCGGGTGGACCCCTGAAATGGGCTCTGGCCACGGTGAACACTGTGGGGCAAACAAACAGCAAGGTTAGCCTGGACGTTCCAGAGTGCCGTGGTGACTGTTGGCAGGCCTTGGGCCAAACTTGGTCCCTGCCTCCAGGAGTCCCTCACAGATCAAATTTCCACACAATGAAGAGTTAAACTAGCCTCAGGTCTGGCTGGGGGAGTCAGGGAAGGCTTCCTGGAGGAGCTACAGCAGCAAGGGAGATGCTCCAGGAAGAGGGAGCAGAAGTCAGGTAGCTGCAACAGCAGGGCACAGAAGAGGCAGCTTGTGAGCGTCAGCTCCTGGGAATCATCAACTACAGGCAGTGCAGTTTGTCCTCGCAGGAAACGGGGAATCACTGGTATGTATGTGTGGGTGCTGATTATCCTGCAGCAGTCACAATACCTGAGGCCTCAGTTTCCCCACATGTACAATGAGGATGTTTTCTGCCCCCCAGCCCCCACCGCCCAGCACACATACCTCCATGAAGACGGTGCTGTCACAGGCTGTCTGATACTTGTTTCTCTCATGCACAGGCTGTTTCTCAATCTTCTCCCGGTCAGTTTTCAGTTTCCGGTCAGCTCGTTTGGGCTACAGTGGGGTAACAAGGAAGCGTCAGAGCTCCCCTCCTTACCTGCCCACTTCTCATGACAGGAAGGGCTCTGAGAAAGAGACCAAGCCCCACCCCTCTGTGTCCAGAGAAGGAAACAGTCCCAGGTACAGGGTCTGCAGGCTGAGTGAGGGTCCACCGCAAAGCCAAGTCAGATCCACACAGCCAGCAAGGCAGTCCCTGAGAGGGACGGAGGGGAAAGGGCCCCGTGCTGCCCGTACCTTAAACACCTTGACGAGGCAGCTCGCTGAATGCAGGTGCTCCAGCGGAAGCTCCTTATCACTGGGCTTGAAAGTGTCGGTCTGGAGGCGAAAGGGGACGCCTTTCTCCCCACCTTTTTTCTGAGGAGTGAACTCAGTGCTGGTGCAGTGAACCTGAGGTGGGAAAGAAGGTGACTCTATCTAGGTCCCGCCCACATTCAAGGGATCTCACCTGAAACCTGTTACCTGTCTGCCACTTGTCAGCCACAGCAACTTTCCATCCCCAACCAGTGTCTATTCTTAAGGCATACCTTATTAGGTTCTTTCCCTGGTTCAAAACCCCTCAGTGGCTCCTCAAGACTATGAGATGAGAAGCAAAGACCGTGGCATTCAAGCACCTTAAAGAGACAAGTCAAACCTTTTTGCCTGTCTGCTCTCTCTTTCTCACATCAATGAACCCAATGACCCACCCATCTAGCCTACTTACCACTCCAATACACCTGCAGAGCTGTCCCTTGAGTCTCTACTGGGAAAGCTCCCTCTGCTCACACTTGAGCCCATACATTCCATTCCAGGGTAGAGTTACCAGTTCAAAGTTTATCTAAATTGACTGTCCTGTATTTTATTTGCTAAATCTAGCAGTCTGCTCTAGGAAGACTTTCTGACCTGTACAACCGCTGTAGCCTTCCCGCAACCTTGTGAAGAACAGCTAATGAATCTAACTTTACAGGTAGGGAAGCTGAGACTCGTAGAGATTACATTACCCGGGCAAGGTTCATGCCAAGAAGTGGTGGAACTGAAATTGTGCCATATCCACCTGGCTCCTCGTCTAGGTGCTTAGAGTACAGAGGACATTCAGAAAGGGACTTGTAGGTGAATTTTGACAATATTTTTTCTTATAAAAGGAAATATATTCAAATTAGAAAATGCAGGGGGGGCTTCCCTGGTAGCTCAGCTGGTAAAGAATCTGCCTGCAATGCAGGAGACCCCAGTTCAAACCCTGAGTCGGGAGCATCCCGTGTAGAAGGGATAGGCTACCCACTCCAGTATTCTTGGGCTTCCCTGGTGGCTCAGAGGGTAAAGAATCTGCCTGCAGTGCGGGAGACCTGGGTTCAATCCCTGGGTTGGGCATGGCAACCCACTCCAGTATTCTTGCCTGGCAGGCTACACAGTTCATCGGGTCTGAAAGAATCAGGACTGAGCAATGAAGTACAGTACAGCACTGAAAAAGTACAAAGGATACGGGCATCTCCATCACCCCACCTCTCAGAGACAGTACTCCAAATCTTTGTTGTGACGAGACAGAAGCCAAGGCGCACACACTTGCCTGACATCTGTACTCGCCTGACAGTACTTGTTAACATTCAAGTTTTGTTCCTGTCTTTTCTCTGGGCAAGAATAAAACACAACTTTTATATACACACACACTTTTATTTTTGCAAAATAGGCATCAAACATTAAATACAGGTCTACATTCTGCCTTTACGTACGGGAAAGCAGTTTCTCTTGTCATGAAATATTTCTAAGACATCATTTTAATGGCTACACAATTTCCATTATAAACTACTAAACACTTATTTCAAAGTCCACCCTTATCTGATGGACATTTTGATTAATATCTTTTAATAGAAAAAATGGCAGGGGTAAAAAAAATGCAGGGGTATTTATTATGGTACTTGTTCAACACTGCATTTCTTGAGGGGGAAAATGAGTATGAACATTAAATTTAATAAAATTTGCCCACGTACCTACAAAATGGATGAACCAATTTGCATTCTTGGGATATGAGGTTGTCTGTTTCTCTAAAGCTTACCAATAATAAAAGTCTTTGCCAGTGTATATGTGTGTGTGTGTGTGTAAATATATATATATATATATATATATATATACATACATATATATATATATATATATAGTTTGTTGTTTAATTGCCAAGTCATGTCTGACTCTTTGCGATGCATGGACTGTAGCCCGCCACTCCTCTATCCATGGGATTTCCCAGGCTAGAATACTGGAGTGGATTGCCATTTTCTTCTCCAGGGGATAGTCCCAACCCAGGGATTGAAGGCATATCTCCTGCATTGGCAGGTGGATTCTTTACCACTGAACCACCAGGGAAGCCATGTGTGCATGTGTGTGTGTACATATATACATGTAGTTTTAATTAGCATTATTAACATTTTGTGAGTTTGAACTGTCTACATTTATTAGCAATTTGTATCCTTCTTTATCAATTGCTTATATCTTTTGCCCATTTTTGTACTGAGCTTTCATCTACTTTTTCTTTTTAATGTATGAGCACTTTTTATATATTTAAAATATAACACTATATATGTTATATGTAGCAAGCATTTTTCCCAGTTGATGTCTCCTTTTAATTTTGTCCATACTTTGCAGACCATTACTTTCCATGAAGCTAAATTCTGTCCTATGTTTTGTCATTTCTTCCATCACCTTAATGTTTGACAAGTCCTTCCTTATGGTGACATTCAATCAACATTTGTCCACCTTTGTTCCTCACAGTGCTTTCTGGAAGTGATTCATTCTTATTACCTCCTCTGACCTCCACCCGAGCTCACCTTCCTTTCCCATATAGGCTGCTGCCACCCCCATCTGACCTCCAGCCTCCTTTCTGTCCCAGCTTCAGACTCACCTGCAGGAAGAGAGAGGTCCTCTTGGTCGGGTCCCAATAAAACTCCATGATGTTCAGTTGTGAGGGCAGCACTTGGGGTTCCAGCACCCCCACGGACAGTGGGCTATCTGCAGGCACAGATTGGCAGGCAGGGAGCAGGACTCAGCACCACCACCCCTCATCCACAGGGGCCTCTAAGCCAGACAGCAGCCCTGAAGGGCCCTGGTCCCTCCCCATTCACCTATGTCCAGGATGCGGTCCCCAGGCCGGCTCCACCTCCACCCGTCCAGCTGTTGCTGCTCTGTGTACTGCAGGCACCGGTCGTGGAAAAACACACGCACCACGTTCTGTGGGCACAGGATGGGGCCGGGGCATTTGGGAACCAGCTCCCACCTCTGGGACAGGTCAACCTTTCCAGCCTCTCCCTTACCTTTCCTCCCACACCCAGGGGGCAAAAGGACTTAGAATAACTAGATCTGTGTCCAGATGCCACCTGCCATTCAACAAGTGGTGAAACTGAGGAAGTAACCTAGAGCCTCAGTTTCCTCATCTGTAAAATGGAGGAGTTAATCACTTTGCACTCAGTCACTCTTTCTTCGAAGCACTTAGCAGTTTGCAATTTGTAAATCAACTTGTAATCATATCTAAATTGTTCAATGACATGTTTGTCTCAGTAGAACACAAGTCCCCTGAGAAAGGAAGCCACATCTGTCTCTTTACCCGTGAATCTCTAGTGCATAGAACAGTTTCTGGCAAAGAGTGGGAGCTAAATAAAAACTTTTTTTTTTTCCTGAGAGATGGAATCATGTGTGTGAATAATGCTATGTTAATGTATTTCTAAATCCTGGTTCTGCTACTTACTGGCTCTGTGTCCTTGAGAAAATACTTCACCTCACTGTGCCTGTTTTCTCAACAATTCCCGCCACCACCAAACTGTTGTGAAGGTCAAATGAAAAGGTGGACTTGAGAGGGCTCTACTTGAGAATGACATCACTGTGATGACACTGGCTTCCTGCCAGAGGGATAGTCATAGCCAGCCTTTGCCAGGACTGGGAGTGGAGGCACTTGCCTTCAGCAGCCGGGGCTCCTGGGTGGCATCAACCAGTTCGGGGTTGCAGAGCATCCGTACCTCATAGTACTGGCCTAGGAGAAATTGAGAGGAAGTGAGCACCCCTCTTTGGGGGGCAGAGAGGCTGCCTGCCACCCGCAGCCGACCCCGGGTCCAGCCTCCCGCTAGCACCCTCCATCCCCAGGCCCATCGCACCCTGGTTCAGGTAGGTGAGGGTCTCCTCCTGCTGCTTCACGGCCGGCGAGGTGGCTGCGCAGAGCACGTACTAGAACGCGGGGCAGGGCTACTCCACTCGGGGATGTTGGCCAGCTCTTCCTGCTTGAGGTAGGGGAAGGGCAAGGCCTCCCTGCCAGGAAGAGGAAGGCACTGCTGGCTTCTGCCCTGTCCACCCCCTCCTCCAAGAGGCTTTGACTCTTTCTGCCACATTCTCCCTCCAAGGAGCCTACAGTTTGCTGAAGCAGGTACCCCTGCAGCAGCCAGGGCCTAAGGGGTCCCCATTCCACTCCTCTGGCCTCCAGCAGACCTCCCTTCAGGTGCAAATCCCCAACACTACAATATTTGCAAACATCTGCCATCAATTACTTATTTGCATCCTCAAGGCTTGCTTGACAGCCAGTGACTGCCCAACATGTGTCCTGAGCGGGTGGGTGGTTAGGGTGTTTTGAGATGTCCTGGGACCCACTAAATTCCAGGTACATTTGACCGTTTCCCAGTTGGGTTTGCAGTGAGTTGGATATGACTGAGCACGCACACACTGACCAACCACCCCCCAAGAGCAGGAAGCCCATAATCTTCGGCTTGAAACAGATGGCCCTACCACGTCCATCACAACTCAGATCCGTGCCTTCCTCGGGGACCAGAGGGAGGGGTTCTGACCCTTACCTGAGCAAGCTGCATAGTGGCCCAGGGTACAGCTCCCTGGGGCTCGGCCACAGGTGCTCCGGCTGGTTGTGCCAAAACAGCATCTTGGAGAGACAGCAGGACCAGCTGTGTCGCAGGGAGCACAGCATTGGGTTGGGCTGGACACCCTGGGCCATCCAGCTGGGGCCCCAGGCTTTATACACAGGCAGGGAAAGACGGAAGGGTGGGGCAAGGCTTCGGCCCCTTATTGGCTGAGCAATCAGGGCTCCAGGAAATTCAGGACCTGTTAGGCAGCCCTAGCTGAGGGGGAAGGGAGAAATGATGTCCCTAGGGCTCCACACCAATCATTAATTCAAAGAGGAGACAGTTGTGCAGCAAGACCAGTCACAGGGATGGATATCCACTAACCCCACCTTCACCGTTCCCCAAGAGGCCCAGGAACCATGAGTGGCACCCTGGGGCTAAGAGATTAGCTCCAGATATGTAAACCAAGTTGACTCCCGGAGACCCCCAGCCTGGACCCCTCACAGGACGCTATGGGGGCTGGGAGCCTGACTGCTCCAGGGGACAGGACAAACAGACACACAGCATCACGTGGACCTACAAAGGGCCTTTGCTCCCCTGGCCTCCCCCCAGCCACCCCCCATATAGGGGCAGTGATGGCCCAACATCTGCCCTGTCACTGGGGGCTGCCTGGCTAGGGGCCTGGAGTTTACAGAATATAGTCCAACTTGCTCTGGAAACAACTCAGAGGGTGGTAATGGGAGGGAGAGCATACCCGTGAGAAGGAGGGGGTGGGCCTGGGAGTGCCCCCTCCCCGGGGAGGTAGAAGGAGAGGAGGTCCAGCTCTGCCCTGGGGCTTGGGGTGGACTGTGTTTCTAGATGGCCCCCTTCCTCAGGCTCAGCCCCTGCTGTCACTACGTTGTCAGCCCTGGCCTGTGGCCCCCACCTCCCACTACTGTGTTTGGTGTAAACAGATAAAGGCATTGCAGAGAGCAGAGACTGGGCTCCAAAGATGTGGCCTGACCTCTTGTGACCCTGACTATCCAGGCTTGGTGATTCTGGCGGCCCCTCCTCAGAGGAAGGGAGAAGGAAAACCAGAGTATGCCGCCCTCCCCGCCCCCATCCCCCCACCCCCCCCACACAATGGGCAGGGTTCCTCCAGGGGCCTGGCCCTCGGTCCTGTACCTACATTCTTCTCCTATGAAGCCAGACCAGAGGAGAAAAGATGGGAACATTCTTGCCAATGGGCACCAAAGAAACTTTGAGTCCCCAAGATCCCCATTAAGACCCCTAAGACTTCAAGACTCACCCATTGCCCAAAGCTGGATTCAAGGCCAGAAGGCCCCCCCATGGGACTCTCCAAGGTTGGACAGAGCAAGATTCCAAGAAGGACAGAGGAAGGGGCTAGGAAGGGTCAGGAGGCAGGGTGTGGCCCTGGTCTGGGAGGATCAGGATGAGGGAGTGGCAGTGGGGCAGAGGGAAGGTGGAGGTGGTGGGAGGAGGCTTGTTACAGAGGACGGAAGTAGAAAAAGCTGAGACCGGTGTCGGCCCTTCAGAGGACACCACCAAGAGCTGGTCTGGGGAGGGGGACTGCGCCACAGGCATGCAGTATCTTAATCCCCCCTCAAGCGATGGAACCCACGAGCACTGTAATGGAAGCCTTCGCTGGACCGCCAGAGAAGTCCCAAAGCATGATATATTTTTTTTAAGGTGGATTTTTTTTCACATCCAAACAGCTCTATCATTGTCTAGGCATGGCATAACTCGATCCTAATAATACCCTTGGGGTTACTCCTTACCCTAAGCCAAGGAAGTAACTTTTTTTTTTGTAAAAATTGCTAAGGAATAATTCACCATCCTTCTCCTCTAACCAAAATTTGTTGTTTTGTTTCGTCTTTTATCCCAGGCAACATTTTAACCTGGAGAGTTAAGAGTGTGAAGTCTACCGCTCCCTCAGAGGAAGAGGGGCTGAGAGGAGTGTTCCTCATCCATTCATTGAACCTACCCAGTAGTAGTAAGTGAAAGTTGCTCAGTTGAGTCTGACTCTTTGAGACCCCATGGACTGTAGACTGCTTAGCTCTTCTGTCCATGGAACTCTCCAGGCCAGAATACTGGAGTGGATAGCTGTTCCCTTCTCCAGGGACTCTTCCTGACCCAGGAATCGAACCGGGGTCTCCTGCATTGCAAGTGGATTCTTTACCAGCTGAGCTACAGTTACAGGCCAGTAGTAGTAGGGGGATTCCTTTTCCCAACAAACTGAGGCTTCTAGGTGTGCAGCTCCACAAGGCATCATACTGAACAGCAGCCCCTAGAGTTTGAGGATGCACAGACCTGTCTTTGAGCCCCCAGTCTTGTATTCCTGAGAGTTCGTCTCACCATCAGGAAGTCTCACATTGGAAAGGTACTCGCTTCATGTTTCAAAGTTACCGCCTCCTTTTTTTTTTTTTTTAATAATATATATTAAAATTATTTATTTATTTTTGGCTGCACTTTGTTTCTGGGCGTGGGCTTTCTCTAGTTGTGGAGAGTGGGGACTACTCTTAGTTGCAATGCGCAAGCTTGTGGCACTGAGGCTTAGTTGCCCCTCGGCATGACTCATGTCCCCTGCACTGGCACATGGATTCTGAACCCTCGACCGCCAAGGGAGTCCACTGCCTCCTTCTTAAAACCCTTCTGCCACCCAGCCGGTTGGCATTTATGTTCTCCATGTGTCTCAGCTCTTCACCAAATTCCTTCACAGCAGTCATCTGACATGCAGTTTATTCTTTGTTCACTTTGCTTAATGTCTATTTTCTCATCAGAGTGGAAGTCCCTTGAAAGTAGAAACTAAGAGGTGGGTTAGTGTTTAGGTTTAAGAGTATGTTTCTCGAGATAGACCCTGAGTGCAAGCACAGCTGAGTGGCTTTGGGCAAGAAACTAAACCTTTCTGAGGTTCATGCTGCAACTATAAAAAGGGGATGATGAGAATGTCTACCCCACAGGGCTGGGTAATAATGAATGAGGTAATAATTGAGCCCTCAGTAATGTAGGTGTCTTTTTATTTATTTATTTATTGTGGCCACACTGCACAGTGTGTGGGATCAGGATATCTCAAGTCCCTGACCAGGGACAGAACCCACATCACTGCAGTGGAAATGGGGCATCTTAACCAATGGACTGCCAGCAAAGTCCCAATATAGATGTCCTTTTCTCTATATATTTCCAGTGCCTAGTCCGTTATACAGGTTAATTTATTTAACACTTGAAAGTGTAGGTTTATTTATATAACACATAAATGTAGAGGGTCTGTTTATTTAACAAACAGTTCTTTAGTGCTCAGTGTGACTTCAGAGTGCTTTTCCATCTACCTTCTAAGATTAATGCTATTTTTTTCCTATTATTCTATTATCACTGCCTCCCTCCCCCCAGTTATACAGATGGGGAAATTGAGGCTCCAAGAGATTAAGTAGCTACCTCAAGGTCACGCAGCTAAGATAAGACACAGCCAGGGTTTGAACCCAGGCTGCCTGAACTACAACCTTTTCTCCTAATGACTGTACTGTATGACACATTCTGCCTGACAAATGTGTATGGAATTATGAAACGAGTCTCCGAGCAACATTCCAACTTGAGAAGCTGGAGAGTAAAGTCTACACCCCCTCCTGCAAAGAAAGGGGCTGATTTGGGGATTTGAATGATTCATGCATTCATTTATTCAATAGCTCTCAAAGGAGTATTGGACCCCGGAACCTGGATTCTGATGAGAGGAGGGACCTCTGATCTTTCTGAGCTTTCTGACCTCTCCAGCTGCAAAATGGGGACAAAATACTTTCTGTTCTTCTGGGCCATGAGCTCTGAGGATGGGCAAATATGAATGATAGTGGCTGGCTGCTGCAGTTGGTTTTGTAGATGGGGGTGGGAGGGCTGATGATGGCAGAGAGACAGGATACAAGATTTTGATTTCCTCAGGTGTGGCTATGACTTGAGAATTCCCTTGGGATGAGTAGCAGTGAAGGCTGCAAGGGAGCAGCTTTTCTGGGGTATTTGATCTTCCAGGTCCCACTGCACGTTATAACCACCTCTTGAGGTAAGAAGGTCCCGATTACAGTCTGTGCAATTTGCCCAAGGTTATTAGCTAGTGGCCAATACTTTGGCCACCTGATGCGAAGAACTGACTCATTGGGAAAGACCCTGATGCTGGGAAAGATTCGAAGGCAGGAGGAGAAGGGGACGACAGAGGATGAGATGGCATCACCGACTCGATGGACGTGAGTTTGGGCAAGCTCCGGGAGTTGGTGATGGACAGAAAGCCTGGAGCATGTGCTGTAGTCCATGGAGTTGCAAAGAATTGGACACGACTGAGCAACTGAACTGAACTGATTAGCTAGTGAAAGTGGGCTGGACCCTGAGTCACCTCACTGCCATGCACCCAGGCCAAAACAAGACTTGTTCCTGGCTATCCCCTTAGAAGGCTCTTAGCCCACTACTCTGGCTCTATTTCCGTGTTGCTGCCCCTGAGAGCCAGGGAGATCTTCCTACGACACAAGAATGACCATACCATTGTCACTCACGGTGTCATTCTCAAGCTGGGCTATGAAAACCCCTGGGTTAACATGCCCATCTTCCAGGCATCAGTGATAACCACAGTGGTACATAGTGGTTAATGCTTAAAATCATTTTTAAATATTTTTGGCTGTGCTGGGTCTTCATCATCACTCAGGCTTTCTCTAGCTGCGATGTATGGGCTTAGTTACCTCATGGCATGTGGGATCTTAGCTCTGCCACCAGGGATTGAACCAGAGTTCCCTGCATTGGAAGGTGGATTCTTAACCAATGGACCATCAGGGAAAGTCCCTAAAATCATTTTTTAGTGGGAAAACTAATATGGATATTCTTGGAGTCAAAAGCAAGGTTTGCACAAACATTTAATATAGAGCCATGTCTTTAAATTCCTTTCCAGTTTTGAGTGAACCACTTTGCCCACCTTCTCCCTCCTCATGCACCATGGTACCCCCGGATTGTTCACCTGGATTCCCATGAGTGAGTCTGAGCAGTCTGTTTGTGCAGGAAAACCCATCTTCCTGGCCCAGCATCCACAGCCACTGGTCCACTTTCTTCTGCC